ATATTTGGGTATGCTCTCCGCTAGCACGCAACAGGGAGGGATCCCTTTTCACTCTGGTCTGAGGAAAGAACATCGTCTTGAAAGCACCTGGACTGCATATCAAGATTCTCTATGCTATTAAGTACTTCTCTGGTTTATTCAAATTAAAAAAAAAATTACCAGTTGACATGCACATGCATGCATGCCATGTAATTTTTCTACACTCTCATTACTTGACTGGCAGCTAAATGTGCATACTGAATCTACAGAAATAGCCTCTGACTTTTGAATGGCTGGAATGCAGCCTAGTGTGCAAAAAGCTAAGAGTCTCTCTCATTATTCTGTTCACTTTTTCCTCTGGTCACACCCGCCACTGGCATGCATTACTCAAAATTCATTTCTATGAAGGCAGAGAAGCAATTTCAACGATGAACTGTATTTTTATGTTGTGAACCCTGTGATCTTTGGGTGAAGGGCAGTATTCAAATTTAATATATAATAATAATGGTAATAATTAGCTATACTACTCCAGTTGTATGGTACATTTAAGCAAAATCACCTGTCCAGGGACTGGGGGGGGGGGGAGGACACCACTCACCCACCATCAATTCATTTTCTAGAGTAGCCTTCTAAAAAAAGGAAAAGGAAGCAAACTGCCCACAATGAGCAAAAAGACACTATAGGCTTGTTCAGGTATTGTGAAAACCTGAGAGTTTAAATTGTATAGGGAGTTCCTGTTAGTGGGTAGACTTAAGTGTATTTGGCAGAGTGATTCACATTTTGTAGACCAAGTGAGATCTCGCTACACCATACAGTAACCCAAAAATGTAAGGCTGTTTGTTCTACAGTTCTGTTAGCTACTTGTAGATATGTCTCCACTTGATAAAACAATATTATGTCATGTTGCATTGCTGAATTTTACCATTAGAATTGGGATACAGCAGGCAAATAACATTATAGAAACACTGTTCCAAGTGTAGGGAAATTATAGTTGAGCTAAGGTTTTCTAGAAAGCAGCAACAAATATTATTTGGTTTCTTCTTCCCTTATCATCATGAATTGAAGCATTTCATACAGGCAAATACTGAAGGCTGCTAAATTTTAATCAAGTTTTGATTTCCTTTATACAGTTAAGTGTAGCGACTGTCAACATATCTCACCCATCTCCTTGAGAACCAGATTGTCCATGGCTGAATAATCCAGAACTTAGTCTGGGCACAAGCAGAAAACACATAGTGATATCTCAATTGCTAGTCCTATGCAAAAGGTAGGAGTAGACACTTTATATTCAGAGTCTGAAATTGATTTAGTTCTGTAACATGACCACCAATGCAGAACGCAATTCTCTGGGCTTGGGTTAACAAGACTGGGGGAAAAAATCTGACATGCTTTTGAAAAGTTAAACTGCATTACCATCTCACACGGAAATGTAATAAAAACGACTGTACATGCATCTGGAAAACTCTAGGTTTTGGAAAGCCCTAGTAATACGATGAAAATATTTTTGCATACCATTAGATGATTTGTCATTTCAATGCTTTTCCTAAGGCAGGATGCCTGAATTGTTGTCTGGTCCTCGTCAGCATCTTATCTGAACTATCCAGTGTTAAGCAAGTACTGACATTTCCCCAGGTTGCCATGAACTCTATAGCAGGGGTAACTAATGAGGGACCAATAAGATGTTGCTATACTAGAACTTCCATCAACCCCAACTGGCATTGCCAATAGCATGGATCTACCACTGGAGGGCAACGGGATGCAGGTGGCGCTGTGAGTTACACCACAGAGCCTAGGGCTTGACGTTTGGAAGGTCGGCAGTTCGAAACCCCACGACGGGGTGAGCTCCCGTTGCTCGGTCCCTGCTCCTGCCAACCTAGCAGTTTGAAAGCATGCTGTGCAAGTAGATAAATAGGTACCGCTCTGGTGGGAAGGTAAACGGCATTTCCGTGCACTGCTCTGGTTCGCCAGAAGCAGCTTAGTCATGCTGGCCACATGACCCGGAAGCTGTACGCTGGCTCCCTCGGCCAGTAAAGCGAGTGCTGCAACCCCAGAGTCGTTCATGACTGGACTTAATTGTCAGGGGTCCCTTTACCTTACCACTGGAGGGCACCATACTGGCCACACCTGCTCTATGGTAAAACAACAACAACAACAACAACAACCTATTTCATGAGCCCAGTTCATCCCATCCTTAAAAGTGTAAAACCAATGCAACAAAAAGTTTCAGTCCAAACCTGGAAGAACCAGGAGAAATGACCAGTATTTATAATAATAATAATAATAAATTTTATTTATATCCCGCCCTCCCCAGCCGAAGCTGGGCTCAGGGCGGCTAACAGCAATCAAAATAATCCAACGTTCTAAAAACATTTCATTATAAAAATTAATTAAAATCAAATTGGTGGCAGCCATTAAGCAAAATTTTGTGCAGATTGCCAGAGGAGGGGGTCAGGCTGCGCCCTGACCAAAGGCCTGGTGGAACAGCTCTGTCTTGCAGGCCCTACGTAAAGATGTCAGGTCCCGCAGGGCCCTAGTCTCTTGTGACAGAGCGTTCCACCAGATTGGAGCCGCGGCCGAGAAAGCCCTGGCTCTAGTTGAGGCCAGCCTAACCTTTCTGTAGCCTGGGATCTTCAGGATGTTTTTATTTGCAGACCATAAGTTTCTCTGTGGGACATACCAGGAGAGGCGGTCCCGTAGGTACGAGGGTCCTAGGCCGTATAGGGCTTTATAGAAACCTACTTTGGATAATGCAGTCTATATTTCATCACAAGATGACCAACATAACCAAAGTGGTTAGATGACAGCAGCACCTTCAGACAGAAATGTTTATCTGCTGGGAGTCTGCATTGAGGAAAACACAACACTCCATGCTGCCTCATCTGCTGAGCTGCAGCAGATAAACAGTTCACTCTGATGGATAGTTCACAGCTTCAATTCAGAGTTAGCCTTGGTATATTTTTCTTAATGCTGCCAGTATAGTATTTCCTGCAAAATAAGTTCGGAATTATTCTTAACCCATTTCTCATTAATGATCTTCATAATGATTAACAAGTGATGTGGCAGGATCTTCAGTAGCCCATAGAAGTTGCTACCTTCCAACCACTATAAAGCAAGTATGCTCAAGTGAAGAGGAAGCTTTCATTAACATTTTAATGGGCTACAGACAGCTCACTTTACGATGAACTTTTTTAAAAAAATAAAAGGAGTCAAGCCATAACTATCAGCTGATATGTATGCTGAAAGTTGCCCTTATATACATTTTAAACACACATATATTCCACTTTGCAATTCAAGAGTGACATCAAGCAAATCCGTTTAGTAGGGAATTTTTATAAGGACAGAAAGCCGAAACTAGTATTGGTAACAGACTAAGATATGCTTCCGCAATAAAGAAAGCATTTGGAAATATATTTTAGCATGGCCTTGAGGAAGGACAAACCACTATGATGACAGAAGTTAGCTATAGCTTTCCAATAGCTATCTTTAACCTAGAGAAGAACTGGTTGTAAGCATGCAATTTACAAGTTTGCTTTCAAAGTTACGGGTAGGAAAAAACAAATTATGTTGATAAATGTTTTGTAGTACCTTCAATTGCAACCGAATTCAAAGCTCAGTATCAATTATAAATTAGTAAATTCAAGAGTTGAGGTGAATGACTTTCTGGAAAAATTCCACCAATGTGTAACTTCTACTGGCTCAACGCTTTAGTGTTTCAGATTTTTAATACTCAAATACTTAAGTATAAGAACTATTTCATGGAGCTATGGGTTTTTTTTAAAAAATCCACAGTACATTGCTTTCTTTGCCCTAAATAAGTGAACCAGATAAAACACTATATTGAAGAATGAAATGCAATTCTCATGATATATAAAAAGTAATACTCCTATTGCCAGAACAATTGAAATAACATATTTTTTTAAAAAAGAGCCCTACCTTTCTCCCTGAAAACAGGCCTCTGAAGCAGCTGATGACAAAAGGAAAAGAACATACTATAAACATGTTTTGATAAATTTAGAAGGCAGTGGGGACAGAAAAGGATACTCTGCTTCAACTGCTGTTGATTCTGAAATGATGATGATGATGATATATTTATACCCCACCCATCTGCCAGGGTTTCCCCAGCCACTCTGGGCGGCTGCCAACAAAATATTAAAATACAATAGTCTGTTAAAAAGCTTCCTTAAACAGGGTTGCCTTCAAATGCCTTCTAAAAGTCTGGTAGTTGTTTTTCTCTTTGACATCTGGTGGGAGGGCATTCCACAGGGCAGGTGCCACTACCAAGAAGGCCCTTTGCCTGACTCCCTGAAACTTGGCTTCTCGCAGCAAGGGAACCACCAGAAAAATCACAAGAAAAAGGAAATGGGATAAACACTACAAAGAACTTCCAAGTGTTACAAGCTATCTGACAAGGGAATAGAATGCATTGGAAGGTGGTGGATTTTCCTGTTAGAGGTTTTTAAAGCAGAAGCTGGACAGCCACTTATCACCGATACGTGGCCACTGCTATCATAGTAAATTTTCTGTACCTGGAGACAGTTGGAGTAGATGACCTTTGGGACCCCAATTATATGATTCTGTTTCCAGGTATTTCAATACAACCCATGACTTGGACTGAGCCCAGTGAGGGCTGTCACCCTACCAGAAGTGCCATTGCCACTGCTCTTTTGCAAACCTACCTGGTAATGGTTGGAACCACTCACAGTATTGAATCTATTGGGCCCTAAGCAGTGCTATGAGAATGCAAGTTAATGCCTATGGCAAGAACCACAGGAACTAGACTTTCCATGGTTCTTGCCACAGATACTGCTGCATATTTTCAAAAAAATGCCTAGTGGCAAATTCTGTAAATTCCTTTCTGTCATGCCTACACGTTCAGTTAAATTTGAAAGAGGGGACCCAGTGAGGAGGGAGTCTTGAAATAGACCTCTCAGGTGGCAAATCACAGAGATTTAGACCAGATCTTAATGAATCTCTATATGGGGGTGGGAACATACATAAAACCAATGCCCAATCCACTCATCCTGCTTGGGTCCAATTTATTTTGCTTACTATGCAGAAATAAATGAAACAACTTCTTCTATCCACCCAGGCATGTTTAGAATAGTTCAATGCAAATTTTCTACTTTCACATTTCTTCAAACTGACATTGGCACATATATAAGTATTAAAAACAAAGTTTGTGTTTAAAATGCAAAACCACTTATACATTTTTAAGCAACAAAAATATGAATGTGTTTAAGGTCTTGTGTTGAAACACTAAACAGTGTATCAAATTCATCTTTATTGAAACTTTATCGTCTGCTCTAAATTCACTAATCTCCCTATACATACCTCAGCCATTTTTCTAAGCTCTGTGCTCAAAACACAAAATCATGTAGGCAAACGTGCACCTAAATCAAGCTACACCTCTTTACATATAGAACTGAAATGCATTTGTTTTGTACAGGCACAATTGACTTAGCCAGGCTTTTTACATAAAAGCTACATCTTAGTACATAATTTGCATTTCAAGGTTACTTGCCATTTATTTTGCTACTTACCTTCAGCAATAAACTTGAAACTCTGTTCAAAGGCCTATTTGCATTTCTATAAACCCCATGGAACCTTTAACATTGTTCCGCATAATAAGGATGAAAACCAATGAAATGTAGGCTTGTAGAACTATCTACACCTCCCACTGGCCTGTTATTGGCAGCATGATAGGACCTCCCCACTTGTTTGCAGGTCTAAATAAGACACATTAGGTGAAGCCAACCTTTTACTACATTTGAGAACAAAGCAGCAAAGTAACTGGTCGATGCACCTTGCAATGTAAATGAAAAGACTGAACGTAGGAGCCCTTTATGGCTATGGGATTACACATAATTAGGCCAAAGAAATTAGCTAAAAAATACTAAATATGGGAAATTCAGAAGAAACTGCATCCAGCTGGGTTCCCTGTTAAATTGTTTTCTACACTCATGTAAATAATGGAACAAAAACAAACAGCTTATCCATTATTTTTGCTACGTTATTTTTATTTCTCTTTCTGTAGTACATGAAGTCACTCTTTACCTTTTCAATATTCCAATTTTTACTTCTGGTATGCCTGATTAAGCGAATGACTAAAATAATCTGATTTAGGTAAGAATCACTGGTATGAAAGTGAATCCTGAAAATTTGTGCTCCAGTTTTAAATGGCAAGGTAACGATTTAGGCTAGCATTAACCCAGGACAACAGCAAAACCGTCCATTTATGAAGTAGGCAACACCTTCCAGCATTTCCTATAAGGCAACAAATCAGTAAATGAGCACTTGGTTTTTACTGTTACAAGCATTCATGACTGTAGCCAAATGCAAGACCCCATGCCTTCTCTTCTCCCTTCCAGTAATATCTAAGATTACAAAACACATGATGCAATGTCATTGCAATGCAACTTTCCATACTCCAAAAAGCAGCAGCCAATGAAGCTGCAGAGTGGGGGAGATTGGACAAACTCACAGCAGTAAATATTATAGGGTTAGTTAGGTAGAAACAATTCAGAGGAATAGCTAAGAAAAATTGGCTCTAATTTCACCATTATACCCCCATCCAAGTTGAATAAAAATACATAGAAATTTCAAAATACACAGAAATCTGTGGTAGACAGATTACCGTAGTAAAGCATTAAGAAACACTGTTCTCTACAAATTTGAGTTTTACTACTATTCCCATTTCCTTTGCCTCATTTTTTCCACAATAAGAGAAGGCAAAGCATTCATTGAACCTAAATCATATAATCTAGAAATCCATATGATATAAAACAGTTATTAGAAAAGTCATATTACTTTTGATCATCAATTTACAGGTGAGAAGTCAAACATAATGTTCCCTGGGATTGATATACACTCTTCTATTGTCTGGCTCAGGATGCTTCTTGCTGCTCCAGTCTTTGCAATTTGTTTGCTTGAAAGCTGGGCACATTTGCTGATGGCTATCATGAGCCAAGGAATTTTCTTCTTCATAGCTCAGTTGCCTGCAGTTTACCATCTTCTAAAAAAACCAAAATAGATGATTAAAGTATGAAACAAAAATCTATCTGGCTTCTTCATCATATTGCTTTCTTCTTAAAAGGTATGTCCTTGAATGACAATACTCAAATTAGACGTATTAATTGCTGTGGAATCCTAAATAATAAATAAATACAATGACTTAATTTATAGTATAATGATATGGATTTTCTGTAACTTATACTTTCTTCAATACAATGCACATTCAGTACCATTAATATTTGTCAACATGCAATTTAAAACAGTATTAAGACAGCTCAGTAAAAGAAAAACAAATATTGAATGAAGGCCTACAGTGGTGCCCCGCAAGACGAATGCCTCGCAAGACGAAAAACTCGCTAGACGAAAGGGTTTTTCGTTTTTTGAGCTGCTTCGCAAGACGAATTTCCCTATGGGCTTGCTTCGCAAGACGAAAACGTCTTGCAAGTTTGTTTCCTTTTTCATAAAACCGTTAAAACCCAAGGTGCATTGCTTGAAGAGGTGCAGTTGCGACTTGACTTCGAGGAGCAACTCATAGCACGCGGTGTGGTAGCCTTTTTTGAGGTTTTTGAAGACTTTGGCGATTTTTGAAGCTTTTCCAAAACTTCTTTTGCAGCCATTTGGTAAGTTAAACTTTGAAAACTTTTTTGGGGGTTTTTGGATTTTGGGTTGGGGTGTTTGGAATTCAAGGACTTGGTGTTGGGGAGAGGGTTGCAAGAATCTGGGAGCTTGTTTTTCCCCCCTGCATTTTTATGATTTTCTGTGACCATTGGGCCATGTTGTTTTTTTTAAAAAAAGTTCTGGGTTTGAATTTCTGTGTGGTGGGTGGCTGGGGGAACAGTTGGGGAGGGGTTTGCAAGAATCTGGAAGCTTGTGTGGTTTTTTTCTGCATTTTTATGATTTTCTGTGACCATTGGGCCATGTTGTTGTTTTTTTTAAAAAAATTCTGGGTTTGAATTTCTGTGTGGTGGGTGGCTGGGGGAACAGTTGGGGAGGGGTTTGCAACAGTTGGGGAGGGGTTTGCAATTTCTGTGTGGTGGGTGGGTGGCTGGGGGAACAGTTGAGGTTTTTGAAGACTTTGGTGATTTTTGAAGCTTTTCCAAAACTTCTTTTGCAGCCATTTGAGGTTTTAGAAGACTTTGGCGATTTTTGAAGCTTTTCCAAAACTTCTTTTGCAGCCATTTGAGGTTTTAGAAGACTTTGGCGATTTTTGAAGCTTTTCCAAAACTTCTTTTGCAGCCATTTGGTAGGTTAAACTTTTAAAACTTTTTTGGGGGGTTTTGGATTTTGGGTTGGGTGTTTGGAATTCAAGGACTTGGTTCTGGGTTTGAATTTCTGTGTGGTGGGTGGCTGGGTGCTTTTGAATTTTTTGGATGTGAAGCACTGATTCTTTTTTTTTCTTTCTGAGTTTGCGAAGCTAGGAGCTGTGCTGCCATGGGACCCAAGAAGACTGCTGCTGCAGAGGCCGGCGAGAGGAAGAAGGAGAAGGTGACGCTGGAAATGAAGAAGGAGATCATCCGGAAGCACGACGGTGGAATGCGTGTGACAGACCTCGCCAGGGAGTACGGGAGGAATCCATCGACCATCGGGACTATCCTGAAGATGAGGGAGAAGATCCTTGCGACTGATGCAGCCAAGGGAGTCACCAGGATCGTAAAGAACCTCCCAGCTGTTCTGGAGGAGGTGGAGAAGTTGCTGCTCATCTGGTTAGAAGAGAAGCAGCGTGCAGGGGACACAGTGACTGAGGCCGTCATTTGTGAGAAGGCCAAGGCCTTGCACGCAGACCTCGTCCGGGAACAGCCAGGAACCTCAGGCGAGCCAGAAGTCTTCAAGGCAAGCAGAGGTTGGTTTGACCGGTTCAAGGCAAGATCTGGAATCCACAGCGTGGTCAGGCATGGAGAGGCTGCCAGTTCTGATGTTCCTGCGGCTGAAGACTTTGCAGTGGAGTTCCTGGAGGCTGTGAAGAAGACGGAGGGCTACGCTCCACAGCAGGTCTTCAACTGCGACGAGACCGGGCTGTTTTGGAAGAGGATGTCCAAAAGGACTTTCATCACACAGGAGGAGGCCAAGTTGCCTGGCCACAAGCCCATGAAGGACCGTCTGACCCTGCTCTTCTGTGCCAACGCAAGCGGCGACCTGAAGATCAAGCCCGTGCTGGTGTACCACTCGGAGAACCCACGGGCCTTCAAGAAACACAAGGTCGACAAGGAGCGGCTGAGTGTCATGTGGCGATCCAACAGTAAGGCTTGGGTCACACGTGTGCTGTTTGTGGACTGGGTCAATCTTGCTTTTGGCCCTGCTGTCAAACAGTACCTGCTGGACAATGACCTGCCGCTGAAAGCTTTGCTTCTGATGGACAATGCTCCTGCTCATCCTAAAGGCCTTGAGGAGGACTTGTTGGAGGAATTCAGCTTCATCAGCATCATGTTCCTGCCGCCTAACACCACGCCACTGCTCCAGCCGATGGATCAGCAGGTCATCGCCAATTTCAAAAAACTCTACACCAAGGAGCTTTTCAGGCGATGCTTCGAGGTGACTGATTGCACCACCATCACCCAGCGGGAATTCTGGAAGGACCACTTCGACATCGTCACCTGCTTGAAGATGATCACCACGGCCTGGAACGGGATCAGCCAGAGAAATTTGAATTGCGCTTGGCGCAGCCTGTGGCCGGACTGTGTGGCACCAAGTGACTCTGATGCACCAAGTGACTCTGATGCACCAGAGTCAACAGTGGTGCAGGACATTGTTGCCTTGGGGAGGACCATGGGCCTGGAGGTCACAGAGGAGGACATCAGCGAGCTGGTGGAGGAGCACGGCCACGAGCTGACCACCCAGGAGCTGGTCGAACTGTAGGCAGAGGCTGCGCAGGAGCAGGCCTCGCTGGAAGAGGAGGAAGCAACTGAGGAACGGCTGTCCTCCAAAGAACTGAGGGACATTTGCATGAAGTGGAAGGATGTGCAGGCTTTTGCACAGCGGCACCACCCTGACAAGCACATGGCACATGACCTTGTGAACACTTTTGATACGAGGGTCATGTCGCCTTTCAGGGAGGTGCTGAAAAGGCGGATGAAGCAGCAGACCATGGACAGGTTCTTCAGCAAGAAGCAAAGAGTGGAAGAGGAACCTTCTTCGAGTGGTCCCCAGAGTCTTAGAAAATGTACTGTACACTTTGTTGATTTTTAAATGTTTTTCTGTCATGTTTAGAAACTTAATTTATTGTTCCATCAATTTTTGAAATGCTCTTTACAGTATGTGTGACTTTAAAGAGCACTTAATAAACTCTTGTTGTACCAAATTTGGCTTTGTTTGGACTTTTTTTGACCATAGGAACGAAATAATTGAATTTCAATGCATTCCTATGGGATTTCGCGCTTCGCAAGACGAAAAATTCACTAGACGAAAAAACTCACGGAACAAATTAATTTCGTCTTGCGAGGCACCACTGTATTCTCCCTTTTACAGTATTCTTCAAAACTTAGTATTATTTAATGGTTGAAAAGCTTCATATAAGGCTCACATTTATTCTGCATATGGGCATAATCTTCCATACTAAGTGATATAGTAAAGGTACCATTAGGTTCTTTATTACCATTAGGTCCAGTCATGACTGACTCTGGGGTTGTGGCGCTCATCTCGCTTTATTGGCCGAGGGAGCTGGCGTACAGCTTCCGGGTCACGTGGCCAGCATGACTAAGCTGCTTCTGGTGAACCAGAGCAGCGCACGGAAACGCCGTTTACCTTCCCCGCTGGAGCGCTACCTATTTATCTACTTGCACTTTGACGTGCTTTCGAACTGCTAGGTTGGCAGGAGCAGGGACTGAGCAACGGGAGCTCACCCCGTTGCGGGGATTCGAACCACCAACCTTCTGATCGGCAAGTCCTAGGCTCTGTGGTTTAACCCACAGCGCCACCCACGTCCCAAGTGATATAGTAGTGACAATTTTTTACCAAGGGGTCATCTGAAGCAAAAACCCAACAGTGAAGAATGTGTGGCACCTGCTCCCTCTGCTTGATTCAGCAGTCCATGTGACCTCTTCCTTGAGTGTTTTTCAGGGGAAAGGCTGAGTTGCAGAAGGTTGAGTTTATGCATACTATCTTGTTTGCCCTTGATTAGAGGTGAGGAATCCAGCATTCTGGGAACCACTCCTAACTACAAGGCTGTTCAGCACAGGAGAGGTTGCGATATTGTGCAAAGTGTGGAGAGGACATTACATAACTGGGGCGCCACTACTGAAAAGGCACTTCCACTGGTAAATATTTGACACATTTCACCTGATTGGGGCACCTGGAGAAGAGCTTCTGAAGATGCTGATGCTAAGGCAGGTACATGTTGGGAGTGGCTATCCTCCAAGTACCCTGAATCCAAGCTAGGGCCCTAAAGGTCAAAACCAACACTTTGCATTGGAGGCAGAAATATGAAACTGTTATTCAGAAACAGGGTATTTTCTTTTCTTCTGGCTCCATGTCCTCCTTCTCATTCAAAACTCAGGTTTATAAAAACTTACAGCACCTTGCATTCCACCCAGTTTTGGACACCAGGCATCTGTTTGCTGCCTAGAAGGGAGAAAGGCTAGAAGCAGATTCTAAGGCACTGCAAACATCTGGATCCTAAGACTCAAAGAAGACTGATCAATGTGGAAAAGTGGGGAAGGTCTGAGAGTAGGCACTGTGGTTTCTGTCTCAGCAGTGCTTCGAGCAGAAGGATTCATCAGTAGACGATCTGTGGCATAATCTTTTGCTGCTGAAATGTTTGCACCAGCTGTGGCCAGTGAAGAAGTAGCAGGCACGACAGTGGCAGTACTCCAGTCCACTTGCACATCGGGACTTTTGCTGGGTGCCAAACTTACTGAGACTGCTGTGATGACCAGTGTTGGGGCAGTCACTACATGCTTCAAGAAACAAGATCTTCCTGACACTTAAGAGCTAATGCTGAGGACCTGCCACAGATTCATCCATGTTGTAGGGAAGGTCTAGCCTCCCCACAATGCAGGGCCATTTCTGTAGGCAACCCAGTATTAAGAGAACTTCTGCCCCAAGTGAAGAGTATCATCCTTGCTGGCTGTCCAGAAAGTCAAGTATTTGTTTTGTATCAGTTGAAGTTTGAAATTAACAATCACTCTGCTGTGCTTTTAGTTACTGCTGTATTGTTTTCTGTTTGCATAGTATTATTTTGTTGTTTCTATGGAAGTTTGATGAAAGGCACTAAATAGTTAAAAAATAATAATAAGGAAAACATCTTGACTTAAGATAGATATGAATGTGCCTTATACCAAAATCACATGCAGCTACAGCAATGTACACAGTAAGAATGCATTTATGTCTTCTTATCACCTGGTATCATTCTACAAAATAATATAGAAAACAAAGAGAATTTCATAAGCACTTTGATTTTAGAAGAATTGAGAAGGATTTTTTTTTTTTAAGTTCTACATTACTTGCACACAAATTATCTCCAAACCTCAGAAATGAATACCAACCCCCTACCTCAACCTCAACCTCAACCCAACACTGGCTTAATCTTTAACACAGAAAGCAAACACGAGTATCTTGCTTGCAGCTCATCCTTACATAATTTTGGGCAACTATAGTGAAGCAGCTTTGCATTCTGTAAAGATTCCAATATGCAAAATTATTTTAACTGTAGTTTTGGATGCAATGAATTCGCAACAGTTAATGCAAAGCCAATAGTTAATGCAAAGCCAATCAGCTTTCATTACAAGTGGATGCCAAAGCTTAACAATGCCAGTCTCTTCTGAGATTTGCTAGCCAAACATTAGAACATCACTTGATTCTGATGGAGTCATGCTGCTTTCTGAATTGGTAGTCATATTTTGTCTGGGTTTATTCTACTTCCTTTGATATTTTATAATATAAGCCAAACGTTTTTTGCTTCATAGTGTACTAAACAAACACTATTCAGTTCTACAATACTGCATGATTACGTCAGAATGGTGTGTGCTGGGGGCCTGGCTAGACTGTATTTAGTCACTATTAGATGATGTCTAGAACTTTTAACCAGGCAGCTTGACCCCGAACCTCGTTTTGCTCACAATATTCTTTCACATCAGTATTTCAGGAGCTTCAACTGCTAGTTGGGGAACACAAGGATTTACACAATCTTATACTGAAAGCTTCAGTGACCAGAAACTTGCATGCCTTTGATAGATTTTCTTAGTCAGAATGCAATGGTGACCATGTCGTTGACTGCGTAGGCTAGAAAGATTACTGCCTCATATTGTTAGGGCTAACTCTAGCTTTTTCTGGAGTGGCTGCATTCCTCCGATCCTGTTGGTTTCTATAGCCGTAGAAGAACCTAACAGTAGATTTGGGTGGCTAAATAACAATACAGAATGTGGACTCCTGAAAAGCCATTTAACGTGGTACAGAAATCCATTATGCATTACGCGGAATCAAAGTATGTGGCCCAGACTTCTTCATTACTTTCAGTGGGCAGTGGGTAAGCATTCCTTTGAATGGGGGTGAAATTAAAATAACTTTTGTGTGGGCTTGTAATAAAGTTGAGGGACACGGGTGGCGCTGTGGTCTAAACCACTGAGTCTAGGGCTTGCCGATAGGAAGGTCAGCAGTTTGAATCCGCACAACGAGGTCAGCTCCTGTTGCTCGGTCCCTGCTCCTGCGAACCTAACAGTTTGAAAGCCCGTCAAAGTGCAAGTAGATAAATAGGTACTGCTCCGGCGGGAAGGTAAAAGGCATTTCCGTGCACTGTTCTGGTTCACCAGAAGCAGCTTAGTCATGCTGGCCACATGACCCAGAAGCTATACATCAGCTCCCTCGGCCAGTAAAGCGAGATGAGCGCTGCAACTCCAGAGTCATCCATGACTGGACCTAACAGTCCGGGGTCCCTTTACCTTTAATAATAAAGTTGACTGAACAAGTATTTCTCCCACCTTCCCCTGCCCACCCCTAAATATTTGCTGCCACTCTTGCCATGAGTCTTAGTAAAACTCTTGTGGGGATGGGGTTGCAGAAGATTTACTACCTGCAATTCCTTCAACACTCACTTCCAAGTATTTTAAAAGGGACATGTAATGAAGTTCATGAGCGTGCACCCTTCAGACTTGACAAGACACACATACATTTACTCAGATATATAATGCAATCTGAGGTTCGTTCTCAAAGAGGACTCCAGCTTGGGATAAACCCATAACAGTCTTTTGAGGTTCAAGAACCTGATTAAACCCTCATATGGGAATTAAATATATTAGTGTAATTACTTAGAAGTCTGGCTGGCAGAAATATACTATATCAACTGAGTAACAAAATAATGTCTTATGTCAACTGAATATCTTCTATAGATCAATTTGTATTAAGCAACATTAAAAGATCCTTTTACTTTGGAAGTATGCTTCATCAATAACTTACTGGAAGAATTATTTCTTTCTGAGACAAGGAACGAGCTCTTTCTTCATATGAAGACGGAGGCTTGTGTGTTGGTGGAAGATCAATCCTGCATTGGAAAACTTGGAGTTTAGTCACCACTATTGGCGAAATAATTGAATCAAGTGCAGATTACAGCTGTAAACAAGTAAAATGGAAACTTCCTTGGTCATAGAATAGGAAATGCCATTAATATAAAATTGCAAGTATCCCACTTGCGACAATTTCTTAAATGGCATTGGTTTGAATAACTCAACAGATTTGTCAAGCATTACCTGTATAAAGAGAAACAGAGCACATCATATAAGAACAGCCCTGCTGGATCAGTCCAGTGGCCCATCTAGCCCAGTGACCAAACAGATGCACCTGGGAAGACTGCACAAGAGCACTCTCCCCTCCTGCAATTTCCTGCAATTGGTTTCCAGAAGCATTGCTGTCTCCAACCCTGGAGTATAGCCATCTTGGCTAGTAGTCATTGGCAGCCTTATTCTCCCTGAATTTGTATAATTATCTTTAAAAGCTATCCAGGTTGGTGGTGATCACTGCTACTTGGGGGAGAGAATTCCATAGTTTAACTATGGAAAAAGTACTTTATTTTACCTGTCCTGAATCTTCCAACATTCAGCTACATTGAATGTTGAGGAGTTCTAGTCTTATGTTTGGGAGCTGGGGGAGCTTTTCGCTTGCAACTTTCTCCATGCTATGTCTGATTTTACAACCTTCTATCATGTCACCTCTTATTCGCCTTTTCTCTTAACCAAGAAGTTCCAAAGGCTGCAATCTTTCCTCATAAGGGTATCGTTCAATCCCCTTGATATTTGGTTGCCCTTTTTCTGAACCTTTTCCAACTCTTCAATATGCATTTTGAGGTGAGGTGACTGTACACAGTATTCCAGATGTAGCCGCACCAGAGATTTCTATAATGGCATTAGGATATTGGTAGTTTTATTCCTTTCCTAATGATCGCTAGCACACTCACTCAATATCTTCAATGAGCTATCTACTATGACCCTCAGGTCAGCTGAATGAAGTTCACAGAACTAGTTTACAAAATCTCTGAAAGTAGTGCTTAACATTGCTGGATGAACTGAAGGTGAATTAAGTTCAGTCTGGGGTAGAACTATGAATGATTTCTAGATCATCATATTTATCTCTCCCACACCCACACCCACACCTACCCAGCAGGAAACCGAGACTCATTCTTTTTTTCTTTTTTAATTAAAGCTAAAAGCCAATAGAATATCTATAAAGTCAGAAAGTTGCTAGATTTTGAATAGCCAGTAAGAGACTATTGAGAAATTAAAAGGGAAGCACTATGATTTCTTAAACCTAACAACACCTTTATTGTACGTCTAGGTGTACAACGAATAGAGGCAGGTAAACAATATTATTTTAGGGGTTCCACCCACCCAGCACCAACATATTCAACAGAAACATAAAAGCCAAACTTTACAAATAACAGATAATTAGCCTTTGCTGATATCACTGCAGATGGCATCATTTTAGCTGTGCTTTTTCAATAAGTATATAATGTATACTGGTTACAGAGTTTTGTGATTAAGCAGTCTACAGATCTTTCTAAATAAAAATAAAATAAACACATTAGAAACACAAAGAATTTTTAATTTGTGCTAGTGTAAAGATCTTAGACTAGGTATATATTTTTTGAGTAGTGTATGCTGACATTTTGTATTAGCACTACAGGGACTGTGCCTTAAAGCAGAATAGAATGGTATAGCATGAGAAAAGGGAGAGTAAACACTTCAAGCTTTTTAGAAAGCAAGGATATCAGCTTAGAAACAAACAAAAAACTTACATTTTGTCCATGTAAGTGGGCCTTTTCTTTCTGGGAGTCAGTAGTACTGTCACAAAGATGGTAATGATAAAGAGAGCAAGTACTGCTCCTATGACAGCCCCAGCTACAGCTACTGATGACGACTGCTTAAACGGAACATCTGAAATGTAATTCAGCATGCATTATGATTTTCAAGCAATGAGTCATGTTATCAAAACTCCTCAAATTCAGGAAAAAGAAATAAAGTTAGCTGCCTCCGAGTTAAACATGTTGTGGAATCTACAATTTATCATTTCCACTGCATGCGGGTCATCAACAGCTATGCAGTATTAAAAAATGATTGCTGAAGGCAGAATTTGAACATACAGTCTTAAACTTTTAAAGATGAAAAAAGAGGAATCAAAATATGTTGACATGAAAATGATTTTCAATTCTTAACTCACAAGGCGTTAAGTATTTGAGACAGATGCCTTTAACAATGTCTAGAAAAGTAATTTTTAGCATAGCAAACTTTTGTATTTCAATCTACAAACAGAACCATTTGTTTTTAGACTGTGCATAGGAACAACATACAAAAATAAATGGCAGTTATACTGAAAGTTCCGTCTGGTTTAGAAATAGTTATCTAATACTTTAAGAATCCAAAAGCGTAAGCTACTGAAGTTATACTTACCAAAGCAACTTTGCTTATTCTATATCCCTGAGATAGGACAAAGCAACGATATCTGAAGTTATCTAATTTTACTATCAAATGTGCTAGCTGTATCTTTTTTTGTAGAAATCAGTAGACATTGTTTTATTTTACTTAAAACACAAACAAAATCTCTAAAAATCTGAAGGCCTGACATGTTGAAAACCAGGAACTACACCAGGTACATTAGAAATGTTCACAATTGACTCATCATAGCAGAAGTGGACCACAGTGGTAGGTCAATAAGAATGTTACCCTTTAGTGGCAAGTTAATTAGTTGCCCAGTTACTCTGTTAAATGAAATGTGTTACCTGTACTGTATGTGCAAATCATTGCTTAAATATTTCAGAAGTATTTGAAAATATCTTTAGCATTATTTTTATCTCCACCATATCTCAGATATCTCAGAATATATGAATGCATGCACTGCTTTTTGCTTCACCAACATGCAACACCGCCATGAAAAACGTTCATATAACAGCCTACTTTGAATTTTGACATCATTTCCAAGGGGGAAAGGTCTAGACTTCGGAGGTCTATATACCAATGGCCCAAATCCACCTAAAATATTACTTATACATGTCTCAACTACACACGGTGTATAGTTTGTCCCTATGTTTTTCCTTTTGCAAAATGTGGCTGTGGAGGATGAAATCCAATGCAGAATGTACAGGTGGGGTACTTCTTGATTCATTCCCATATCAGAATTTTCACACTATCACCCCCAAACTGCTTTTTTTTTCATCTTGGAGGAAAGATCCGCACCTGCATCAACAAATGTATACAGGGACAAGCTATATAAGACAATGTTTTATTGAAACCAAGGCTAACCAAAGCAAAAACTAAGTAAAAAAAAGGCCACTGCTTTCAGGGGATCTAACTTAAGCTCACTTGGGCCACACTACTGCATTTCCCCTACCCAAGAAAGCCTGTTCATTCATGGCAAATATGAATATTAAGTATGAAGGGTACACACCTTCCCTTTCTAATCTATTTCCCAACTGAACTATCAGTACTTCTCACACTCAACATCGATATTCACGAGGACTTGTGATTTATTACACACTGAATGTAATTTGCAAACTGCAGAATACTATCAACTGAGTTCTTTGACTTAGCAGCCCAAAGAATGGTCTGAAGGCACACAATGCAATTCTACTGATGCTACATAGAATTGACTCTGAAAACTACGTGAATGGGAAACTGCCTGGGAATCATTAGCAAGCTGCAAAATCAGCTCTTCTCAGGAAGAATGGAATGCGCAACAACCAACTGGCAAAGAATGAGTGTCTGGAAGTTTGCTACTGCATAATGACTCCCAAGCTATTAATCCAACGAACATGATTACACCAAAGTATACATATATTTAGCAGCATTGACAAAATAGGCACATATGCTTTCATCACACAAGCATACAATCTTCATCACAAAGCATACATACATAGCTATGTATTAGGTTGTCTCCCAGCTGATACAACTCGCAAAACTCAAACTGTTTATGCTATGCTGCAATCGTTTTTCATTCATTCTGGAAATCAACTTGTGCTGGCTCATCTGATTTTAAACAAGGACCATCTCAATAATAGCTACTTTGTATATAAACACTAAAGGCATGTTGGTGGCTACAGCAGCAAATGTTTTCTGGACATGCTGAGAAATAGTACTACAAAATACGCTGGGCACAATCCATATTTGTCCTGTGTATGGATTCTATTTGTTTGGGGATTCTTACATGTGTAGAGTCATCTGAAGGCAAGACCAACTCAAGTCTTGTGTTTATCGTTATCAACTTTTCTCCATAGTTGACAGAGTAAAATAATTTGGCAACTTCAAGCAAAACAGCAGACCAAACTTTCTGCAGCTAAAAACTGCATTATGGAGTACTGACTATGGAGTACAAAATATACAATCTGTCATCAAGGACAGCTATGTTGACTAGTAAGTAATCTATGAACACTTTTACCAATATAGTTAAGTATTTCAGATGCTATATAGAAGTACTAATTCAACAGTTTTTTCTGTATTCAGCTCTCATTTTCTAGTCTACCTGTTTCCTCACCACAAATCTAACCTCTATTACATTTTATATGCCTTTCCATCATTTGTGCATATGACCTGCATTCAAGAAATTAATTTAACAAAAGATTTATTTCACACAACTATTCATACTTACAATCAATTCTGTATTTACACCAAACATACATTAGGTAAAAACACTGCAACACTGAACATCTTAAACCTAGTATGAACCTCTTCATTTTAAACTGTAAAGCTCTTGATCAAATTTTAACAAATTTATATTGAAAACACAGAATATTAGGTACTTGCTTCTAAATTTGAGTGTTACAAGAAAGCTTTCTAGAGGGCTTACAGAAAAGTATGGCATTACAATGGAGATGTTCCTAAGACCATGAGCTAGCTTTAAAAAAAACAACAAAAACACACACGCACAAATTAGGACCTGCTACCTTGTGGCCTGATCAAAAGCTAACTGAAGTAAGAACTTCAGCCATTGATGGATCAGATCCATGAAGCAATTATTGAAACTCACTTGAGTTCACAGGCAAGCATGGTTTAATAATTTTACTTCCAAATGTACTGAAGACATACTTTGGTGAAGTAAAATAGTGTTACCACTTAAATTATCAATGTGATAGAGACGCGTAGAAAACCTGTTTCATGTATTTATACTCAACTGCAGTCACATTTCTGAAGACATAGCAACCAAGTCACAGTGTGCTGTCAAAACTGCACCTTAATACAGATACTGTACTGACTGAAAAGCTCTAAAATACTGCAAGTCATTATGTAATGTGCTCATATTACTTCCAAGGTTTTTACTGGGAAGCTAAAAAGCATTAATATTGTCTGTACACATGCTACCAAATTCATCTAATTCTTCATATGCAAATGTTTTAAAGAAGTTTCTATTGAAGCAAACACTCATCTACCTTTTCAGTTTTGAGCATGTTTGAACATAGGATTTTCAATGGCATTTGCTTCTAAGCAAGTATGATGGGCTCCTATTGATTGTGCTATATTCTCTACACAACCAACTAGGTATTCTAAAGCCTATATGTGAGATGTATTTTTAAACAACACAGTTGCCTCTATTTCCTATGTCCTTCAGAGAAAATCCCTCCTTACATATATTTGTTTCTCCCATCTATTAAGTAATAATTTACTTTAATAGTAATTTTACTGCACTACTCCAATTCTTTTCAAGCAGCATAAATGTCTCAAAATGCCTCATATGAAATATACCATGCTAGTATATTTTCTGTTTAAGCCAAAGTGTTTCATCCTTCTCTTTCAAAATATGCCATGCTTTTCATAGTGACAAATGCTTACAAAGTCTAAATTTGCTCCTGCATTTAATGCTTCCCTGCTTTTTAGCCAACATTTCTTTAGACAGTCCAAATACTTCTTGTACCATCAAATTCTGTGAAAAGCCAAAAGTTTATTTCTTAAAATGCATCTTCATTCAAATACAGAAGTTGCATCTGGGTTTCAACTCAACACATTTATAGCTCTGTGCTTAATTAATGTTATGGAAACCTACTATTTCCTGAACATTACTTTTTTCCATTTAGGTAGGGTAAACTGTTTGTATTGTATCAACATAACATTTAATAGATCTTCTGGAAAGGATGAGTCTGGAAACACAACTGAAGTGATTGGAATCTTACATCCCAGTGCTTGGAAATAAAATGCAGTGTAAAAATATAGAGTTCCTGTTATGCTGCAAGACTTTATTCATTGAAAAGTCTATTGCAGCAGGTTCAGTGCAACAAGTCATCTGTAAAAGGTACCACCTACTACAGTATCTAAATGGCAAGGCTCAAAAATGTAGAGGTATTAAATTCTGTGCAGAAAACCTAAAAATAAAGCTTTGAAAAAACTGTGCCATCAGAATATTTCATGTCATAAATTTTTTGTAAACGAAGTGTACCTTAGATCAGCTCTGTACTTGAATCAGTTTCATGTTACGGTTTACTAGAATTATGGATCAAAAAGTACTATCAAGGTAAGTCTTGATCATAAATTTGTAGTCACAAGCAAAGACAGTTGCTTCATTTCAAACTTTTTATAACAATTTCTTTTTCCACTTAGCACTTGGTTATCTTGTGCTATAGGCCAAATAAAGCACTATATTAAAATTCATATCTTGTGAAAGACAGTAGTACAGCATTGAAAAAAATAATAAAGCAGCTTCAATACATTTAAATGAGGTTTTTACATTTCAATTGTCAAGTTAGAATATAAAAAGCTTGAAAATCAACTTCAAAAACCTATTCCTCAAGAAAAAGTATAAACAATCTGAAAGTGATCAGCTAATGAAGGAGCTTTATGTATAGTCAAGACTTGAAGGTGGTCTTTAGACATACCACTCCTTTCGAGATATTACAGAGCCATCTACATGTGAAACTAAGTCATCTTCATTTTCTTCATAACATTCTTCACCTAAGTATTTCATTCCCAGTGTTCCACCTTCATAGTAATCCATTGGTCTTTCATACCTGTCCTGGTACCTGTTAATAGTGTCTACTTTGTTCCAGTCTGTTTTTTCAGATTCTCCCAAGTAGTCTTTAGTTATGTGACTGTTCACAGGATGTTTTATTTCCTTTTTCACACTGTCAGGGTAAGAATCCACATCCTCTACCTGGAGGGTATCTATTTGGGACTCCTTTTGCATATCTGATGGTGGAATGTAGTTCTTAGCGAAGTAGTCACCACGGAACGTCCTCCTTCTCCTATACAAGATAACTCCAGCCAAGACACATACAAATATCAGGAAAAGAGCCCCGCCCACTGCACTACCGATGATAGTGCCCCAATTGTCTTCCTGCATTGCTGGCCATGGTGATGTTGGAAAAAGCTTTAGTTTTGGCTGAGTTGCTAAACCTGTGATGCCATCAGTTGAAGGAAGCCATGGAATCGTGGGTGGTGAAGTGGTAGTAGTAGGAGGATCTAATGAAAGAGCAGAGATACACAAGACACAGAAAAGGCAGAGAATGTCAATGCAAACTAAATTAAGTTAAGAGCTGATAAGAAAGCACAGTTGATGAGTAAGTAAGTGTACTTCAACATAGTTTTTCATTCTTCATTTAATTTCATTACTCTGGGTAGAGGGAGCAGACTTAACTTCTGGACCAGCTTACTGAAGTATGAAAAAATAGTTTACTCTAACAATATCATCAACAATTTTTTCCATGCTGTTTTAGAGCAAACATGGATCAATGCCATCAGCTGAAAAGTCAACCTTTTCTTATATTCCAAGGAAGAGTTAAGAATGAAAGAAATAATGTATTATATATAGTTTTGTTAGAGAATGAAAAACTATAAGCTGCATGCTGAAGTTAGTTCTTCATTATTTTCATTTCCCCTGACCATGTATGTAGTGGTAGGATTCAATTTGATAGTTACAAGATTTTAAAAGATAGCAGCATTAAAAAGTTTGTTGCGCACTTCAATGCTTCCAAAATTCTCATTAGTACTAAAGAAACATTTTAATCAAAATAGGAACCTTCTAAAAAAACAAAGGACTTGTGGAACAAATCAAAGCATAAGAAATTTGTTTCTTATTTCAAAATTGACCCTCAGGGTTCCTTTCCAACTCTACAATTCTATGATTCATTCAGTTTCTATGAAAAGCACCTAATGAACCTTCTAATATTTGACACCTAAATTTGCATGTTTATTCTGTTGTGGTATGGGTACTCAAAAGCTCAAATAACACATACAATCTTTACTTGGCATCAGTATTGCTCAGGTTTGTTAAGGGGTGACTATGCAAGATGTGTTTAAGACTACATTTGGGTACTGGAAATTGTTGTATGTGGATGATACAACAAAAGTTGTATCTATGTACCCAAGACAGTCTGAAGCTGTGAATAACAAACAGTGGGTCCCTTTTCAGTCTCACATGGCAATGATCTTGAAATTGTGTTGAGTTGCATAAGCTGCTTGTGATATGGCCCATGGATATGTCAGAGGAAACAAAAAAATTCTACTCATCGTGCCCAAACCCTAGGACATACATAAAGTAGTGCTCTTTGGATCCTAAATATAATAGTATTAATATACTTCACATTTATCAAGTGGATTCTAGGTGATATAAAAAAGGATAGGAGACAGTTTAGAATATTTAATTATTTTTAAAAACTATTTTAAAAACTAATAGCCCACTGGAGGAGGCTATTCATGAAATGTTATTGTTAACGTTTAGACTACTTCTTCAAATAAATAATTAGCTGTGTAGGCTAATTTAGTAAACAAAATCTAGAAGACTGAAATACAATCTAAGTAATTTTAATAATTATTATTATTAAATTTTAGCTGACTATACACTGAATAATTCACTTAAATCCTAAAATACCATGAACAGTAACTTTCATAATATAATCTTTATAGCCTTTTTTGACATGCTTGAATAGCAAACCAATTTTCTCAAAAAATTCTACTAACATTAGGTCTATGCTACTACTATTATGCCACTTGTCATTAAGTAACATAATTCACTCACTTTCATCAGTGAGCTGTTTAATTCTTTATGCATACATTAAGTACATTAAATGAACAAGAGAAAGGAGAGGAATTTGTAAAATGGGGATACTACATAGATGAACATAGGGATCTTGAACAGTGGTTCCCAAACTTTTCTTCCAACGGACTACTTGAAAATTGCTGAGTGTCTTGGTAGACAACTTCATGATCTCCCCCCCCCCCCCCGCTTGTTGTAGCAACTGTAATGCACTGCGCTAAATGCTGTATAATTTCCAATCATATTTTAATTGCTACTTTTTCTTATATGGACCACAGTTTGGAAACCCCTGATCTAGAGTAATGATGTTTAGTTTAAAAAGGAGTGAATAAAGTTCTCTGATCCTGTATGAAGTAGGTGAAAAAGATTTAATTAGTTTCTATCATTTTCCGAAACAGAAGTATCACCAGGCTAAAAAGAAAAAAAGAAAAGGGGGAAATCTGGAAACATGCTGAAATTGTTGTCTTGAAAATCAGGTTGCCTTTTGATTAGGGTGATGTCAGGGAGCTTTTTCCTCTTCCTCCTCCTCCTCCTCTTCCACCCCACACCTGTTCTACAGTATACCAATCCAGTCAACAGAATTTATTTGCAGCACACCATGGGCCAGAGTAGACAATCAGAGGACCTTCTGTCCACACTACTTGAGAGACAGGGAGCATTGTTGAGGGAGTGGCTGTTGAGTTTTTTCATGATCCCAGGCCAAGGCATGCAAAACTAGCCAAAGCTGTGGCAATGGAAGGGGCTTGGTGGCTTCCTCTTCTTCCTTTAGTCCCTCCCTCTTTCAAGGTCACATCAGAATTAGATGCTAGAGGGCAGAGGAATGATGGGACCTGAAGCTTGTGGGCTGCTCAGACTGTCCCAGTAAGACGGCAGATAAATTGAGGAGTGGGAAGAATAGAGAAAGTAAGTCTATGTACAGTACCCCTCCCTCGACCTTCCTTCATGGCTTTTCGGCCCCACTGTTGATTATTATTTTTCTTTCTACCCATTACAAGCTGACAGGTATATCTGCCAACCAAGGATGACACCTGGTGCATCGGATGAGTTTTATTTCATGAAACCTATGCCAAAATAAATCTGTTTGTCTCTAAATGTGTACAAGACTGGTTTTGTTGTAGCAGACTGCTACCCGTCTGGAATTTGCTTTCAACAGCTGCTTCCCTATAAACTTCCTTCAGAGACTCTTCTCCTTTCTATTCCTTACAAGCCAACTCCTTTCCTTCAGTCTTCTCCTTCAATCCCTGCTGATATAGGACTTTCCATGGTCCCAACCCCTTTAACTTTAACATATTTCAAATTCAAAACTTCATATAATGAGAACCCATGCATTATTACACATGACTTCTGTTCAAATACAAACGCTTATAGCTTAACTGTTGCCTAAATTAAATAAGCAGCAAAAAGACCCAAAACTTAATAGGAACGATTGATCAATAGGAAAAAAATGTATGTGAATAATCAATAGGAATTTACATATAGATATAACATGCATGATTCAACACTTCATTTGGGTGCAAATCACTTCCAAGAATGGCACCACCATGCCACTGTAGAAATCAATAAACAATAGTGGGTGTGCACTCCCACAAGCAGCTTTGACTTGCTACAAACCCACACCTTTAGAAGAGTGACATCTATGAGATGGCATAGATTTGTGTCTGTACGTTTAATGCTTTGTTTAGGCATAAGACACTGTCAAATGCTTCAGCTCAGGCCAATAACCTCCAAAATAGCTTGAGTTAGCCTAAGTCTTACACAAGACACTGCGTGGTCTGTCAGTACCTGAGACCATGCTTGATCCAGCAACCTGTGAATGTGCAAAAGTGTGACCTGCCAAAATACAACTGTTTGAAAAAAAGAGGTTTGCATGCACTGGAGTACAAAATCCAAATGGCAGGCATTAAGCTCAGAAAATAGTGAACATATAGCTTATGAAGTTGGAATATTAATGACTAACGTGAATTTGAACATGTAAGATTGGATGTTTTCAGGGCAAAGTAACTACATTTATCTCTTAAACAACTGAAAGTGAAGATGTTCTGTTAAATGCAATAGATGCTGATATATGTTGTATAGGATGCTGACTGTAATATTTAGAACAAGATAGCCAGCGTGGTGTAGTGGTTTGTTTGCCAAACTAGGGCCTGTGGAGACCAGGGTTTAAATTCTCAGTCAGCCAATAAGATCACTGGAGGTCCTTGGGCTAGTCACTCACTAACTTACAGCTTAACTTACCTCACAGGGGTATTATGAGGATAAAATGGGAAGAATTATGTATGCTACCTTGAGCAATAAATAAAATAACCAAACATACAAATAATGTCCCATTATAGACTTAGATATTGTATTGTACATAAAACATAGGAACATATATCTGCTTCTTGAGAAGATCAAGCGTAAAAGTCAGACTGCAGGAAATCCTTATATAAAGGATAAAATTTAACCCTAACTTTAACAAGCTTTTATTTTTTTCTACTGTAATTGAATGTTCATATCAAGTTTGCTTTTAAAAGAATGAACAATGCGACTGTTGCAGGTCTACCATCTATTTTTCAGCACTTCGAAGTATAGATCTTTTCATAAATCATGTTCACACGGTAAGAATTCATCCTTTTTTGTGGCTTCTCACAATTTCTTTTTCTCCTAACTTCCTTGAACCCTTTGGTATCATCAGTAAATCTGGCTACCTCACTGCTTACCCTAACCTAATTCCAGGTCAGTTGTGAACAAATTTAAAAGTACACATAGCAAAACTGATTTTTGTAGGACTCTACTTCTTACATCCCTTCCCCCCAAAAAACTCTTCAGTTCCCTGGTCTCTCAGGCCACCTGCTCTCCCACCCTCCTGTGGCCATGCACACACAAACAGGCTCTCCGGTTCTCATTATATGTCAATGAAAGGTTGCTCTTCTACTGCCACAAATTAGACAGGAGGTCATCATCACTCGGTAGGAGACTGTGTGGGGAACAAGAGGAATGGGAGGCAAGCACTGTTGAAATGAAGTTCCCAAAAGGCTTCTCTCTCCATCTGTCCATTCCTTTTGCCTCCCTTCTTCCTGTTCTCTCTCCTCCTTCTCACCTACAGCCAGGCTGTCAGCCCACCCATTCTTCTCCTTCCCCTTTTTGTGCATGCCACAGCTTCATTCTCTAACCGTCATTTACGTCTAAACATGTGCATGCAGTGAGCTGCTGGTCTCAGTTACAGAAAGACCAGGGGGCAGAAAAGTAAGGAGGCACTAGATGGGCTGTTGTGCCAAGGCTACGCCCACTGGCAATCCCCAGCCCACAGTACAAGAAACACTACCTTAAATTATTGTTAAGTACATTTAAAACTCCTACTTAAAACTTCATTTCCCCAACTCCTGATTTCAACCACAGCTGTGTCAACAGTAAAGAAAAGTGTACTGGTTTGCTTTTGAAGATCATACTAGATTATGTCATGTCAATCATCTTTACAGGAGGGCAAATATTTGCCCACTTACAGCCCACTTGCGTTCCTAAGGCTAATCCAAAGTCCTGTCGCTCCAGCTACTATAAAGCCAACCATTATTTCTGTCAGCGTTGTGTGCAGATACATCCTATATTTTTGCTTATATAATATACATCCCATGCAATAGAAATGTTCTTACAAGGAACTTTAAGCAAACTGGATGATGTTCTCTCAAGCTAATAGTTAAAATGAAACAATAAATAACACACTATGACCATTATATTGCTGACCTCTCATTAAGAAGTTTGTTCAAATACTGAAGAAAAAAACACCCAGTGACTTACCTAGTATGTAGATAGTCTTTTGATCACTTTTTTGACCAAGTGGATTAGCCACTGTACAAACATAAGTTCCAGTATAATTATATGTCAATGGACTGTTGAAATGCAGAGTATTGTTTAAAGGCTGTAAACCTTCAGGCCAATGTCGATCCAACCTGAATCACAAAGAGGCATTTTTGAGTGTTCCAAATCTAATATTTTATTCAAATCAGATAATTTTAAATAGCTAAGAGGTTCTCCTTCTCTAGAAGCAAATAAGTTCATGTGCAGAGTATCTCAAAGTAAGAGGAATAAAAAACTGAATTTCACAATTATATTTAATATGAGAACTGAAGGAGTTCAGCAGTAATTTTGTTCATGTATTCTAAAACTAATATAGAACCACCTTAGGTTTCTGTAACACACTCTTCCCTCAGTTTCCAAAACAGAGTTCCATGCTAGGCAACTGTGAAAATCATGAAGACATACAAAGAAATATACAAGGATTTCAATTGTCATGTTTCGACATCCTAAAATTCTGCTCAACTTCTGTACTGACTTCTAAGATCCCAGCAGACATTGCCACAAACATTGAGACTTTGTCATACTCCTAAGAGCTAGTCATTTACTTTAAAATATTGGTGAGATGTGTACAATGTCAAATTTGGTATTAAAACAATTCTCTTCTCAGGGTGCTGAGCTGAGCATTAGGTGTCCATACACCAATTTAGCCTTATGCCCATTCCAAATAATGTATATTAAATTCTGGTCAATCATCTCACATCACACAATTAAGTCATATAATATTAATATAATTCATTCATATAATATTACATAAAGCATAATCTAAATGACTACTGTTTAGTTACTTTTTATGCTGTACAGAATACATGTACATAGCTCCTCATCTGAACCTCTGCAGAAAACTCATCAGTGTTACTTAGTACCTCCATGCCAGTTATATTAGCTACAAAGCTGCTTTTCTCTCATCTAGGGTTGGCTCTAGAACTTGGAGAGCCTTCAGTAAAGTGCCATTTGATGAGCCCTTTTCCTATATCAGCAAGCCAGCGGCTTATCAGATGGCAATGGTGAGTGGATGTGGGGTGCTATTTAAATGTCTCACAATACCTCCAATGCAGCATCACAACTCAATCAGTCTGAGTTAATTATTCTATAAGTATACATGCATATCTTTGGCAAGTTCAGCACAGAAGTGTCAATCCTTTATTTGCTTCATACATGGCACACAGACAAAACTGAGGGAGAGGAGAGAACAGAGCATTCTAAATCTCCTAACTAGTTGCACCCAAGGACCGCCCACTCCCACCCCCATTTAAGTTACCTGTTCACATTTGTATATATTCATGTAAACACCATGAACATAAGCAGAACATAAGCAGAATTTTGCTACAAAGCAGAAGCACCAACACTTTAATTCAAACCAAACTACTACAACAGTAAAAATGTTAAATGTCTTGTTAACAATGTTTAACGGATATGTAGTAAGATCAACTGCAGCAAGATTACAGGATGTGAAGCTATATCATCTTCAGTAATAAAGTACCTTGCCCACAATGCAACACAGGAAGAAATTAAGGCTTCTCAAGAGCATTTAATTATATTTTCTTCTTGCTGCATGCAAGCGCTACACAAAGGTGGCATATCATCACTTAATTCACCTACTAAACTAGACCTGGTCTCCATTAATGTGAGCCTGTGTATACACCATATATTTAAAGTGCATTACTTCCCCAAAATAATCCTAGGAAGTGGAGTTTGTTAAGGTTGCCAGGAACTGTAGCCCTGCGAGGGAAAACTATGGGGAAAGCCATATGCTTTAAATGTATGGTGTGTACACAGCCTCAGCCTAACATAAAGGAAAAGGGCAAATGCCTGGTCACAAGGAAAAAATAACATGATATGCTCCTGATCAGTGTTGATTTTAAATATTTATATCACTTCATCTTCTATCTTCAGTTATGGACAGTGTTTTTCAACTTAAGATTGGTGGTGTTGTGATCCAAAGTTGAAGGGGGGTGGTCAAAGAATTGTTATTTTTCTGCAACAGGGTCCCTAGAGCTGCCCAATCAGCATAAAAGGGGAGCTTTTAAGCCAGTTATCCTCCAAACTGACAATGAAAATACAAGGTGCTTCAAGTTTCAAAAGAATGGTTTGAATGGCTTCAAAATCAGGGGCAAAAGAATTGAAAATGTATAGGTCGCTACTACTAACATCCAAACTCAGTTCCTCTAATAGGACACGTTTGGACCTTTAAAAAAAGAAAGAAATCTTCCATTGTGCTACATTTGGAACTGAATTGTAGTGGTGATTTCATTACTACAAATATACTGACTGTAGTTTCAGAGAGCATTTTAACTTCAAATAATTTGCAGAGCCAGCAAATTAAGACGGAAACTACATTTCAATTGATTATACATAAAATGACATTAAAATAAAATTATCTTTAAAATGATACAAGGCAGCTATTAACTAGTTATGGACATGATGCAACTTTTAAAAATGTTATTCAACATTTTACTCTGTTGTATATTTATACCATGTATATAATAGATCATAGATTACTTCTGAATCAAGTATAACTGTCACCCAAAGTTAATCAATTGCAACATTTGTGTTTAACATTAATCATGACTGGCAATCCCCCAACAAAATACTAGCAGCTTTGCAGAAATTCAAAAAGCCATCCAATCTCCAAACCTGCTATACATAAAATCAATAGATCATTCTGCAAAAAAAACTATTCTACAGTTTATACTGAAGCCTGTTATGTTTGTTGATAAATTCAATGTGGCAATGTATTACTACTTAACAATAAAGCATACTATTTTATTCATAAATAATTCAAATTGTGTCTTTCTCTTACGCTGTTAGCATATGCAGGAGATGGTTTTTTTTTGTGAAAACCAGTGTTGCATTCTCCCTGAAAGCTTTGAGTTGTGACAAATATGCTGCTTAAAATATTTCTCTTGCTAGAACAGACCAAGGAACCATCTAATCTACAATTCTGACCTCCCACCCAAGTGACCAGTCAGATACAGTGGTACCTCTGGATACGCACACCTCCCTCCGGTTGCATAACCTTCAGGATGCGAACGCGGCAAACCTGGAAGTATTTTTCTGGGTTTCACCGTGCACGCATTCGCAGAAGCGCTCCCTCTGGTTGTGGAAACCTCAGGATCTGACCAGAGCTCTGGAACAGATCCCGTCCGCAACCGGAGGTACCACTGTTTGAATCTTCTGGAAGATTCAAACAGCCACACTCTGTTTGCTCCAAGCATCTGGTAAATTAGAGGCATATTGCCACTCAAGACGAACATTTTGAACTGTTATGGTTAATAGCCATTGAATAACCTATTTTCCTTGGATTGGCCTTATCCTTTAAAGAAGTCACGTATGCTAAGTGCTACTACCACATTGGATGGTAATTAATTCCATAACTTTGCAATTTAAATTAACTATTTGCAACATAGCGTTCACAGACTGATATATATTTAAGAAATTAAGATACAGAATTGAAAAATATTTTACATTTTTAAGAATGCCAGAATTAAACAAGAACTTACCGACTCCATGTAAACTCCATTGGCAGTGGATTTGCATCAGCATTACACCTGAGTAAAACATTCTCTCTTCCGATATACCAGTTTCCATCATACCCAGTCACTGTAACCTCGGGGGAATCTACAAACATATATAAACATAAGCTACTATGGAAAACAATCAAGTAAGACTTTGTGGAATCTAGCAACTTTAAACAGCCCCCATCTAAATTATTTTCTTAGCTTCTAATGAATACCTAACCTACCCAGATTTCACCTTCTGCCTGCTTGCCATCATTGTCAACCTGCACCGTCAATAGAATTTGGACATAATACATTTGATTCCATTAAGGAACAGTCTTAAGTGAAATTGTCAGTCAGAGGGCTGTTAAGAAACCATCTTAACATTCTCAACACATTTAACATTATCTAAATTAGATACTATTTATTGCACTTTATCTGCACAGATCATATATATAACTTCAAAATGTATTTGTCAGGAACATATTCTAATAAATAAGCATTAAGTAGTGGAAACTATCCTGCAGGTTATCAATTTCAGTTAACCTGGAATTTAATTAGAATATGGTTGCCATGCACCCCCTGAATTGATCCCCCACCCCAGATAACTGCTGTTATTCCAGGGCACCCTGTAGCTTAAAGTTAACACATTATGTATTTCACACTCTTATTTTGGGTCTTTGAAGTACCAAAACTTCAAGTTACATATAAACTCTTAAGTCTATATGTAACTTGAAGTTTTGGTACTTCAAAGACCCAAAGTAAGAGTGTGAAATACATAATTATTTCCTATTTGACTATATATAGCCAGTAACGACACGATTAAGATGTTACTATGGAATAATTCAAATGTGCTGTGCAATGGTCCTGACCATTTAAGCAATCTGATCAAGATATTTCTGGGAGAAGCCACATTATAAATATGGCCGAACAATAAATCACAAGTTACCTTGGGATGGGACTCAAATCAGAATATGGAAAAGAGCAATTGCTAGCTACTAGCTACTTCTCAAGGTAGAATGACTTGAGAGAGGAAACATATGTCAACATTCTTCCTTGTTCCCAACACAGGGCTTTTATTTTTAAAGGGTAAGGTCTAAGTCAAAGGCTATTTAGAACCATTTAAAGGTATTAAAAGCCTGGAGATATTTGATATCAACAAGATATCCTATCACTTACAATATGAAATGTTTTTAGAGGACAAAGTGATGAGGACAGAGAACATATTGCAACTTACTTACATTGAATGTCAAGCACATACACCATTCTAATCTCCTTTTCCAAGGCTGGATGTTTCACAACACATGTTATATGCCTTCCTCTAGCAAATCTTGTGGGGACCACTTTGTATTTACTCTCCACTGTCACAGTTTCATTGGGATATGAAGTTGAAGTGGATTCCATTTCACCAAGACTACCTTCCCAGAGAACCTCTGCAGCTGGTTTTCCGGTGGCTGCTGTGCAAATTGCGGCAAGTGTCTGATTGGCACCATCAATTAAAGCATTTGGTCCCTTTTTTAGGCTCACGACTGGTTCAACTACAGAAAAATACATAAGAATAATTTATTTTTGGTACCCCGCCCATCTGACTGGGTTGCCCCAGCAACTCTGGGCAGCTTCCAACATAATATACAGAAACACCACCACCACCCAAGAGAACATCACACATTAGAAGCATCCTGATATAGGGCTGGCTTCAGATGTCTACAGAAGGCTGTATAATTATGTATCCTTTTGACACCTGATGGGTATTCCACAGGACAGGTGTGACTACCGAGAACGCCCTCAGCCTTATTCCCTGTAACTTCACTTTTCACAGCGAGGGAACCGCCAGAAGCCCCTCAGAGCTGAACCTCTGGACTGAACAATGGAGGGTGGAGACTCCTGGCGATATATAGGGCCAAAGCTGTTAATAGCTTCTAAGGTCAACACCAACACCTTGTAGGTCTTTAAGGACCAGTGCTATATGGTCCTAGCGGCCACTCCCAGTCACCAGTCTAGCAGCCATATTCCGGATTAGTTGTAGTTTCTGAAGTCACCTTCAAAGGTAGGCCCACATAGAGCACATTGCAGTAGTCTAAGCAGGAGATAAACAGTATATCTACCTGTGGGCAGACAGGTGGGGTCTCAGGTGGCACACCAGCTGGAGCTGGTGAACAGTCGTCTTGGACACAGAAATGACCTGTGGTTCCACAGACAGCTGTGAGTCCAAAATGACCACAAGGCCACACACCTGGTCCTTCAGAGGCACAGTTACCCCATTCAGGACCAGGGAATTCCCCACACATGCCCACCCTCTGCCCCCCAGAAACAGCACTTCTGTCTTGTTGGGATTCAACCTCAATCCATTAACCGCCATCCATCCTCCAACCACCTCCAGATATTCAACACAGACATATATAAATACTGCCAATTACCATATCAATAATCTTCCTAAATAGCTTCTGGAAGGGCTTCCAGCCTGACAGTGAATGCCTTTCACATAGCTTCTTTTTTCTATACATTGTTATGGTAACTAGCATTACATTTATTTGAAGTTATCGGCAATTTTATTTCAAAAGAAAAGTGCTCTACTTGACTTATTGTGATAATTCTTCTCAGTTGTACAAATTGAATAGGGCAGGACACCATGTAGTCCATCACTGCCTACCTGAATAATTAGTCAGCCAGTAAACAACAAGTAGGTGAGCAGTGCAAACCTATTCTGTACAGTTCAATAGGGCTTTCTTCTGCCAGGTAATTAGACACAGTATCATAATAGCTCAGTTCCTAATCAGATCAGTACAGCCACCTTGAATTGAATAAATGTCACATTTATAAGAAACATGAGGGTATAGTACATTCCAATGGGAATATCTGAAGATAAATATTAACATTAATAAAGACAAACTGTTACTGCCCACTTAAGCAATTAAACCTATTGCCAGAGTCAAGACATGCAGAGTTCTGTTACAGTTCCATAGTGTATTCATAGCAAGTTCCACAGTTCATTCAAATAAAACTAGAGGACTCTTATACTATGCCTTGGCTACTGGCAAATAGTGTTCCTAAGTGTTTAGTCTGGTCCTCCATGCTATTTCAATATCTACATGGAGCTTCTGGATTTAGGGATTTGGAACATTTTGTCAACAGTGTGCAATTTAAGGGTACTCTTCTTATTTTCATCAGACATTAGAAAAATTGTTGATGCCCAGAATCAAGACAACAATGCTCCTAGTTAGACCACACACACACCCCTAGGGATACAGTCTATTCTGGATTGGAGAGTAACTCCTGCCCCCAAAAATCAGTGTTGCAATTTGGGGGTACTCCTGTTTCCAGCTTTGCATCTGAATGCAAATAGTGATGTGTCCATTCCTGAACAGATGTACTTTTACACAAGGCTACCTGAAAGAATCTTAAGAAACTTCAGTTGGTCGATAATACAGGAAGGGTATTTGTGAGTGTTCACCCAACAGCTGCACTAGTTGTTAATTTGTTTCCAGGTAGCATTCAAAGTCTTGGTGCTTACCTTTAGTCCTAAACTGTGTGGGTCCAAGATACCTTCCTTAACAGCCTATACTGTTCCTAAGATTTTTGTGGACAGGCCTTTCTCCTAGGTCTGCCTGTAGCAGAAGCATGATTGAGGTGAGAGAGATCGCTTTCCACAGCTATCATACTGTGGAATAACTTACTAGATGAGATTTGTTTGCCACCCTCCGCCCCGCCCCCCTTTGTGCTTTCTGCCAGGTTAGACCTTTTCAGTTTTACCAAGCACTTTATTTTTTATGCAGTAGACCTCATTTTAGGAAGTTCAACCAAACACCCATTTTTAAATGGTCGATTTAACAGAATTGTTATTTTCTTTTGTTGTAAGCCCTCCCGAGCTTCCACTGGAAGAATGGGGTATCCATTTAAAAGTAAAGATTTGAACCAGAGAGGAAAGTTTACACAGTCAGTAAGCCTTGCTTCCACCCCCATCCCCACTGCCCCCCCTTAAACACTTTGCCCCAGAATGCAGTGGTGTTGTTCAGGTGGCTGCAATGAAGGGGTAATTGTAAGAAATTGGGGAAAAGGCTATTTGCACATGCTAATTCTGAAAAAAAGTTAGATAATACTACTTTTTTGCTTAGACCATGAAGTATGGCGCCATTTAAATTTATTTTGTTATCTACATCAATAGTTAAAATGATAGAATACTCAGGATGTTCTAGATAGTCTGTGTTTCATAAATCTACTGTATAGAAAGCTACTACAAAGCAGTGATTGTGGGTACACTCCTCCCTCTCCACCATGCATACAGCTCACAAACACACAAGGCACAGAAACAGGCACACCCCATTCTAATGATCAACCCAACAACCAGGGAGGGAATGGTTTATATCACCATCATAGCAGTGCAGCCTCCCCAGCACTGTGTTCACTGGAGTTTTTCTTTCTGCTACTGTTAATTCAGCAGGGGTGGAACAGGTTAACGCATAGGTTAACCCACCCCTGTATGTTAATATTTTGCTTCCGTGAATTACTACTGCAAAGATTAAATATGGGTTTCTAACATTTATTGTTGCAGAGAAAGACTGAAAGATAAGTTCTCATGAAGTAGCAGAAATTCTTAGCCTACAGTAAACTACTTGAGCAAGAAAATATTAGTCCTTTACACTCTGGGCACTGAATAACTGCTGTTTTAATTTCTCAGTCATGCTAGTTAAACCACAAGTCTTTCTTCACACTACTAGATATCTGAAAACAAAATGATGGTCCCAGTCAAGTGACAGTGCTTGTCGCATGCTGCTCAATCCTAAACAGCAGGGATTTCCAAACAATTTTCACCTGAAAATTGCTGGACATTTCAGTGGACCACTTATTGATCTTTCCTAGTGCTAGTTATACAGTTGGCTAACATCCCTGCTTCCCTCTCCTCTTCCCCAGCCTCTTCCTGCCACACCGCCCCATCACCCCATAGGAAATAAAGCACAAAGGGCAAGTTTTCATCTTAGAATCAACTACCCAACAGTTCCAACAGAGGAAATTTGCAGCCATTCTTCCATTTTAACTCATTTGAATTTTAAGGACAAAAAAACAAGCCACAAGTGTTTCAGAGAAAGAGTACTTGACTCATCACACTATTTCTCAACTTGCCATAGATGAACCTTGTCCACTCCCATCCTTCCCTCTTCTTTTCTGCCAGAGCTTTTCTACTTTGGTTTTGAATTTTGGATTAACCACAGTATAGGGCTATGTCCACACTGTAGGTAAGCAGCTTCATAACCCATGATTTAAGATGAACCTCAATTTGTCAGATGTGTGCAACGTAAATTAGGGTTAATCAAGAACAGAAAATGAAGCTTAACTCTTTGCAGCTGCACATGAGAGGACTGCAGAGAAGAGAGTGAAACCCACAACTTGCCTAGGTTTGTTCCAATCACAATAAATTTTGTCCAATACAAGTTTTATGAGCGCTTGTGTTCAATGCCTTATATATTATGCTCTATGGAAAAATAATCATTTTTCTCCCCTTTTTGTTCTAAATACGTTAATCTGACCATTATGGTGCATAAATAAGAGTTGTTGATAAATTCTGTGTGATAAGAGAAACTAGGAGAGATAAAATTAGGAATATTAGATTCAGAACTGATACAGGATTAAGAAAAAAGACTTTAAGTTGGATACTGAATAAAGAAGCACATGAAATTGCATTTTGAGAAAGACAAACAAAGATCAAAGTAAATAATCTATTTTCAATATTAATAAATCACCCACTAAACCTGAAGGATTACTGGGGGAGAAGATTTGAAAACTTGGAAATAAGTTTGGTCAACTTAGTAATGGAAAATAAGTGAAAATGTATTTAGTCAATGTCTTTCCAAAATGAATGATGGGGTGAGTAAAGGGCTTAAGAAGAGATGGGCCATGTATTATTTATTTTCAGTGACTGGAAAAATGACAGAGTAGATCATAGACTGGTAGACCATGCTTCATGTAGAGTGTGCAGCACTTCTTTGCAATGTTCCAAGAGGTCATATCAACCAAGAATAGGCAGAAAATGGTCTGAAGACTTGTCCACAGCAGCTATTTTCTTTGGAAACCACTATTAAAATTCACACCTCATCCTGATATTATTTCCTCCTTGAGTAAAGTAAGAATGTCTAAATGAAGTACTTATTTGCAATGTACCTTGGGATGACTAGACATTTACCCTTAAATAGATCTACATGCAACTAGGACTACTGTCTGCCCTGCCAAGTCTTAACTTGGAGACTGTCTCATGTGGATCTTCACTGATAAAATGGGTTTAGAGGCTAATATTTTACAGATAAATCCAGGCGGGGGTCAGACCTAACTCTTAAGTCAATCTGCTTGTGAAGGGTTGCAGCCAAGTTATATGAAATAATAAGCATCACTGTCTAATCTAATACTTGTAAGAAACTGCCCTTGGGTGTGATGCATTATTACAGAAACATACCACATCAAGGAAGTATAAACTTTAAAAAGCCTGCCCCTTCCTTATCCCACAAAGATGGTGGGTATGGGTACAGGGTGTGGGAATTAGCACTTGGGAATAGGACCAGTGAAAGGAACAGGATGGAGAACTTCCAGTATTTAAATTGTACTGACCATTATTTTTCTTCCATGAAAATGCCTTCATTAATAGGATCAGAATTAAAGGCAGGGCATTTTATTACAATCTAAAGGACAAACCTGTAAAATGCAGAAACCAAGATCCAATTTACTATACATCTGAAGCTGCATAGAATGTGAACCTTATTAACACTTGCTGTGGACTCCTCCTAGAAGACCACTGTTTTATCTAAGCTGTTGTAGTTACTTCATTTCACCCCTATTTTGGACGCTGCCTTCTAAATTCTAATCTTATAACAAAGAATATCCCATATCACAGCTTCGTCCAGCTTGCTTTAGCTTACCAGAAATAATGATTTAAATTTCAACATTTGCAAACAAAGGGGTTAAACACAAATAAACAATCTCCCCATATTTGCAAAATACTAAAGTTAGCATTTAAAATAATATTGATAGAAACCATGCAGGGTCTGCCTATTCACACTGCAGAGCAAGTCTTAATGTTTTCCAAACACACCAACAACTGTTGATGTCGTAGTCACCAGGGAAAGTTCCTGTGGCAGCAGCAGTGCACTCAATAGGAACATATTCTATGTTCTGGGTCATTTCAGAAATATGTTGTCCTCTGATCAATATAAGAATCTACTGGTGGAGGCAGGCATCAAACAGCAAACCATGTATCACAAATGTTACCACAACAATGCTAAGAGGGTATACAGCATTATGTAGAATGCTGTGGCTATTTTGTGAAGGCCACATTTATTGCCAAGAATTAAATTTTCTAAAAGAGAGAGAAAAAAACATTTTGTTGCTGTACACAAAGGTAAAAAAGGAAGCATAGGATGAGGATGCTTCATTTTGATTAAGATCAAGCGCCTTCTCAAGGAGAAGCATATTTTACCAGAATAAATTACAAGAACTGCTAGAACCAATTCCTTATATTTTATAACATTCTGTAAACAAAGAAAAAAAATCCTGTTAAGGACTTAAAAAACCAACAAGGACACACTTCTAACTTCGCCACCAGCAACCTTGTCAAGAGCCTAAGTAGCTTGCGCCCAGGCTACCTGAAAAAACTCCTTATATGAAACTGCCTATGTACTAAAATCCTCAAGTGATAACTTCCTCTGAGCTCCATCAACATAAGAAGCATTGGTGCTGGTGGCACATGACACAGTCTTTTCTGTGGCTGCTCCATCTTTGTTATCCATCAGCAGGATAAGTCCTTCCTACTAAGACAGGCCTTTGAAAACTTAAGGCACAGATGCTGCTGATCAATAGTCTACTGTCAGGACAAAATGTATTTTAATTCCTGGTTCTAAATGTGTTCTGATGTATCTTAATTGTTTGTTTTTAACTAGTTTGTTTTAATTTTATAGTTTGTTTATTGTCTTTTAAAATGTTGTAAGTCACCTTGAATTCCAACTTAGGGAAAGCTGGAATCTAAGTAAGCAACAAATAAATAAATATGGGAAGAACAGTACAAGGAAATTGTCCAACAGTTATTTTAAGAGAGGGCATGTAGAGAAATTTCAGGGGCTAAAGTTAGTTATCACACAGCACAGTTACAGGATAGAAAGTTTTAATGGGTTAGTCACATTCAAATAAAACAAATTGAGGAATATGCTTTATGCCAGGTTTCTATGGCAGCACAGAAGCTATTCTCAAGGTAAATACGGTAATAGGAACACAGGTATAATATACATTAATGTACCTAATTAGGCTGGCTTCTAAAGGAGAAAATCAAATAATTTTCCTGGAGCTTGTCTAGAGTATATCACTAAATATATATAGGATAAGACTTTCAACAATTAGCTCTTTAAAAAGGAAGGGGTTTTTTTTAAAGGAAGATGAGGGTGGGGAATCTGCCTTGCATGCAGAAGATCCCAAGTTCCTAGCAGAGCTAGGAAAGGCTCCTGCTTGAAACCTTGAGGAGCTGCCACCAGTCAGTGAAGACAATACTAAGCTAAATAGAAGAATAGTTTGACATGGTATAAAGCAGCTTCTTATGTTCCTAAGCTACAATACTAATTGATGCACCTTCGCACACTCCAAGAATTTTGTAATACAATCCAACTGAATATTCCATTTCCAGACAATAGCATTCAAACCTAAATCAAGGGAATACCTAGCTAACTAAAACTATTCTAGACAAATACATCAGAGAATAAAACATATTTTCTCTATTCATTGAAGAAGCTACAAGGTCATGTTCCCCCTAGTGAGAATGTGTGAAAATATCACCAAGTAATGGCAAATCATCAGCTCAGTAGACAATTTGTTACCAAGGGGCTAGAAGTATTTATATATTTTAAAAATGTCTAAACAGCCCTTCATCCTGAGGTATTCCAAGTCAATGAGCTAAACTATAATACAGTAAAATAGGATTAAAAATATAAACTAAGAGGCAATAATTATAAACAAACAAAAAATCAGTCAGAGGCCATGAAACCAGTTTAAAATGAATGAACAAAGCCCATTAGATTTGACTTAAAGCGTTTTGAGATAGCTAGTATACATGGAAGCAAATATACATGGAAATAGTACATACAGTCATACCTCAGGTTTGAAGTAGCTTCATGTCAAGTATTTTTGGGTTGCGCTCTGTGGCAACCCGGCACGGAGTGCGTAACTTCTGGGTTTTGCCACTCAGGCATGCGCAGACACTCAAAATGACATCACGCGCATGCGCGGAAGCAGCGAAATGTGACCCGTGCAGTTGCGTGTTACGTTCTACTCAGGATGCGAACGGGGCTCTGGAAAGGATCCCGTTCGCATCCAGAGGTACCACTGTATACTGAAACTATTATTGGTCCACAGCACCCATGCAATGCCCTCTTCTGAAGCTCTCCACTGTAGGGGAAGACAGGAATGGTAATCAAATGGTCTTTCAGGAAACCTCATTGGCCATTACCATTTTCATAATGCCGAACCAGTTTATCTAGATATATTTAGGTATATATTATACTTTTTTCAAGAATGATTCCAATGTGGTTTACAAGGAGCATAAACTTTAATCAATGGAAGAAAAAATCCACCTTAACCGAAACACAATGAGGTATGAAATAGCCAAAAGACAAGGAAGATAACCATTTTACCAGGTTGAATCTCCACTGCTTTAGTTAGTTAATTTTCTAAACAAAGCAAGGACTTCCAAGAAGTATTGAAACAAAAGTGACAATTCTTGTGCTAGAACACATATTGCAAACTCCAGTTTTAATACTGATCTTCAAACATGTAGGTAGAATGTCTACAAAATAAATAAAAAATAAGCATACCCAATACAGTTACAGTTGTTGATGACTGGGAACTTCCTAGAGGAAACGTAGCTGCTTTGCATACATATTCTCCGGAATCAGAGAAGGTAATATTTGTTAGGATGATTGATGCATCTGTAAGTGAGGCATTCTTAAGAAATACTCTTCCTTGATATCCTCCTTGAACGGAAAATCCATAATCAGGATGATGTACAGCAATAGTCTGTGGAGCCTTTCCATGCATTTTCTCCCATGTAATTTGTGTTAATGTTTCATTTATATCAATTATGCATTTCAGTGTAACACTCTTCCCCCATACTGCTCTCACACGTGGATCAACTTTTGGTCCAGCTAAGGCACCTGAAGGTGGGGGAAAAGTAGAAAGAGAACAAAATATGAGTCATTCTGCATCACACATTATTCTTGTGTGAAAATTTGTTCTGTTATCATTGAGTCCACATGTATTTTACCATTGGGAAAGTTTAGCTGCTATTACTTGCAATTTCTCATAGCAAAATTACCACCTTTATCCGGAATTTTAGCAATGATTTGCTTGCTATATTACAATAAAAAGTTTAGTACAGATGACATAAATTTGAACATTACCATACTTTCCTGGGATACTGGTACCTACACACATTTGCAGACTACTTCTGTGTTCAGGGAAGATCTGCTCTGCTCATGCAACAGACTTTGGCTTGCACAATGGATTTTCTCCCTCTCTGCTGCAATGCATTCCTCCCCTGGGCACCCTTCCCCATTGTTTGTTTCTTGGTTTGCACATAATGCTAATGTGTGGTTCTTTGAAACCAGAAGTAAATTTGGCAAAAGTACTAATCCCCACCAAGTGGCAAGAGAAAGGTAGTTGCTGAGGCTCATCCACATACCACTAAACCGTGGCTTAGATGATAGCAATTGATACAATACAGCTTTGAACCCATGTTTTCTGCCTGCACAAAAGGAGCTTTGAATGAGACAGATGTTGAGATTATGATGACATTATTTGCAGCAGCAAAGCTAGAAATAGCAATTAACTGGAAATCTCTGGTTATACCAGATCTAATGTACACCAGTGGTGTAAAAAATTTGGATGGTATCTTTTCTAACAAAATTAACATACTCTGTAACACATAAAGAGAGTTGAGCTGATTATAAATCCCATTCTTTCATAAATCTAATAACTACTAGAACACAAAATTTCAAGACATTAGATCTAATTTGAAATGATTTTAAGTGCCCGTACTGTTTATGTTCCCTTACATAACTATTGATATGGAATTATTTGATGTACATAGTAGAGTTGTAATTTCTTACACATGTGCACACAAACACATGTGCACACAAAGCCCCACTGGAAGATTTGTAGTGCCTCATCACAATTTTAGATTTGTTTGAAGTCAGAGTGAGAAAGCAGATTGTACAATACCAGTGTCTACACCATGGGCATGAGAAGGGAGGAAAGTGGTCATTTAAAACAGCAGCAAAGGTTTGAATAAAGCAGGGATGTTATAATAACAGGTATCAGAAAGTTTACATCCTCTTGCAACACTTGATAAGACAGGACACTAAACTTCTCCACTGAAACTGAAAGAGACTTGCATGATCATGCCAACTTCCATCCCAAGTAGTTCTTAAAAGCAAAATGCATTCATGCTTAACAGCATTTAACTCAAAAAAATTCACTATATGTCTGCAAAGTAACTTAAAGATAACATTCACAATCCACAAGCCATATTTTGAACAAGAGCCTTTAAGTTCATCTCAATGGAAGCAACATTTTGTGATCTGAAATATGAAATCATTTACATGACTGTGGTTGGAAACACTTTAAAATTGAGAAAACTAAGTTTAAAATATAAAGCTGAGTAACACTGACTTCATCTACCAGAGAATTGAATGCTGGAAAATCACCATAGCAACTGAAAACCTGGTCTGGCAACTAAGAAATGACTATCAGCTTGCTAGAATCATTGCATATATACAGGGAGCATCATTACAACACAGTATTAAAAAGATGAACCCTATTCTAGTTTATTAGGTCAACTAGCAGAATAGTTTGTCTTCATGCATCCTTGAAATGAATCCTTCAATCTAAATCTGAAGGAAGCAGAGGTTAGACTATTATTTAGAACAATTAGCTCCCATATGGGAATCTAAGTTTGTCACACAAGTAATGGTGACCCTGTTGTGTAAGTTTCTAAATGAAGAGACCAATTATCCCTTCCAATGTGACTTCCAGCCAGGTACCGGGGTTCTTATCCTTGTTACTGACCTACATACATAGCTCAGCAACTTTGGCAAAAATAAAAATCTCAACCATTCTTGAAACATGGCAACCCTAATTAAACTAATGGAAGAGGTCAGTACGACCATGGCACATCTTGCTCACTCTTTTATAGTCTTCCAGGAATTTGATGGAGAGAAGTTCTAAAACTGTGAAGAAAAAGATATGGACCAAAGCAACAAAAACTTACCTAATTCATACAAGACAAAAGTTATGTTAGCTATGATAAACCTGACTGATGTTTGGGTATACAACCTGACTTGAGATTGAGTAACACTCTCTTGTTTAGATTGAGTTGTACTCCATGTGAAGGAACTAGGTTCAGCATTCAAGCTCTACTTGAATTCATTTATATACCACATTTCTTTCAAGGAGCTCCTCACAAAAACCCTGTGAAGTAGGTTAGACTAAGAGGCTGTTTCTGCCCCAAGGTCACCTAGTGAGCTTCATGGCTGGATGGGGATGCAAACCTCTGAGTCAGTGTGCAGAAGTAGTTTTGGTAAGCAAGAAGGCCAATGCAGAATAGCTATTATACAGCCATTCTCAAAGTGCAAGCCCAAATCCCTTAACCATCAAGAGTTAGCTGTTTTTATTTATTTAACTATTTGCCTTCCAGCATTTTTACAAGCCCCCAACTCTCTAAACCAGATTGCCTAGACAGGATTGCCCTCTTGTGGTCACAGTTATCTCCTGTCATCTCCTAATGCTCTTCCCCACAGGCTCTTTCCTGGAGTGTTCAAATTTGAACTCTCTTTGCCTTTGCGGAAGGATAAGAGGGGGAAACCCAATTATCTCAGTCTTTTCCAACTTAAAGTAGCCTCCCACAACAGTTACCTCCCTTGCTTTCATCACCGCTAGAAGCTGGGTAAGGTTATCAATGTGATGGCTGCTAACTTTGCCACATCATTTCAAGTCCTGCCATATTTTTAGCTAGCAAGGGAAAACTATCTACCACATCCTGCCCAGCTCAACTTCAGTGAACAAACTGAAATTTAATCCAGAGAATTGCTGCTGGAAGTTCTGCTAGTCTGCAAAGAGTTGTGCATCCTGTCTTTGATTAGGTTGAGATCCCCCTGAAATTATTAAGTATGCCATGTACTGGATCTAGAAGCACCTTTCTTTGCTCCTGGATGCCCAGGTGGTGCTGGCGTCCAGTAGCAACTTTTACAATCTATGGTTCTGTCTAGAAAAGGCAGATTTGGCCTGTGCACCAGCTACACCCAGACCAAACTATTCTAGCTCTTCTCTCACAAGGCTGCCTCTCACAAGGTGCAAAATATGGGGAGATGGTCAGAGCATAGCGCAGCAATTCTACAGCAGTTATATTGGTTGCTTACTTGTTTCCAGAATCAATCGAAAGTGAAGGTATTAACTCTGACAGTTAAATATCTTCACACACTCATATGAGCCTGCCTGACGTTAGGATCTCTACTGTAGGCTGCACTCTCTGGATTGCCTTTTGTATATATTCAGTGTGGAGGAGTGCAAGACCAGGGCTTTCTTGGTGGTGGCATGGAAATGGTGAAATTCTCACTCAATATAATACAGAACATCCTCCCTCTCTATTTGGAGAGAGATGCTGAAACCTTATTAAAAAAAATTCTAGAAGGCAGTTTTAATCGTTACTTTAATGGTACCACCTGTTTCATTCTGATATTAATGCTAAATTTGTATACATATATTATATATGCATGCATTATAATGTTAGCATACATATTTCATTCTAGCAAACTGCTTAATAATTTATTTTAAAAGCAGGATATAATAAATCATTTAAATAAAATAAGCACTGAAATTATTATCCTGCAGCAGCTTTGGTTGACAGCCAAAAACTCCAGATATATCTGTTTATTTTAATAATGTATATCCCACCTTATCAGGAATATAAATCAAAGCCGCTCACAAAATAAAACCAATATATGATACAACAAGAAGTATAAAGCGGAAAAAGCACATCAGATAAACAAGCCACAACAAGCAGCAGCTTACTGAAAGGAGGTTTACAGCCAGGAGTACAGAAACAGGACCCAGCAAATCTCTGGGGTGGGCATTCTACATGGTAGCCCTTATCAAAGATCTTGCTTCTAGCAGATGCCTACTGGACTTTATTTGGCAATGGCATCTGGCACAAAGGCCCAGGTGTTGAACAGAGTGATGGCACATAAAGTGGTCCTTAAGACATCCTGTCACAATGCCATGTTGAGCTCTAAAAGTTAAAAGCAGCACCTTAAGCTTAGAAACAAATAAAATTAGCTCAGATAATACAAGACTCCAACCATTTGTTCTAATCACACAACCCAGGCTAGGCACTAGCATTTTCTACCAAAGTTTTGTTTTTATCACACATTTCCGCAGTAATCTGTAGGTTACTAGGGCATGATTGATGGGTGAGGTTCGACTTAGCCAGGAAGTATCACAGCTAATGTGCCAGTTGAAGCTAGTAAAAGGAACTCCTATGTCCTGATGTCACCTGAGTCTCCAAGACAAATATGCTGGTCACGGAACAGCCCACACTATGAACCCAATCCTTGAGGGGGAGTGTAACCATGTCCAGAACAATCTGTATCACCTAAATCCAGATTTAGAAAAATATCCCACTCAACAGCAGTTTCATCTTGTCTGGATTAAGTTTCAATTTTTTTACATCCTATCAAGTCTCACACTCAAACAGTTTCAAGATTCGTTGCCTCCTTAGCCTCCAAGGTAAGGAAGAGAAAAAAAGGTGGGTGTTACCAACACTGCTCAGCAAAGTGTCTCTGGACTTCACTCAACCATTTCATATAGATACTGAAATGCATGGGAACCAAGATCCTCTCTGCTGCACCTCAGTGGCAGAGCTGCAGTCCCCCAGCATCACCTTCTGCAGCAAGCACTCCAGAAATCAGTGGAACCATGTAAGGAAAAAAGTCCCCTCCTACACAAATCCTATGAGGTGCCATCAACTGTCACTGAGAGCTCCAGGAAAATCAACAAGTTTACATTCTCATTTCTCATTTCCCACAAGCGGTCCACTAGGGCAACCAAAGTGTGTTCCATTTCAACACTGGGCCAAAAATTTTGATTGGAAGGAATCAGTATCATTCAAAAATACCTGGAGCTACTGATGAGTCCTTAAGCTAATTTGTGTTGATAAATATATGAAAGACTTTCCAGGATTAAAAAGTATGATAGGAAAGAACAAAATTCTTCCTGAAAATTATAGACATGAAACTAGTTTTATTTTCAGGCCCATCATTAAAATATTCAGTGCTGCCAATATAAAGGAAGAAGAGAGGAAGATCCTGTAGAATATGGCTCTCTTAATTGTTTACTGAAATATTCTAAGTACCTTGACAGATATGACAAGGATTCATTCCACAAGAACTACATTTGGCCACATGCCATGGTCTGCAGAGAATTTTCACTAAGTAAATCTTTTACTAAAATACCTCAAAAATCTGAATTTGGCTTTCCCCGATTCTTCAGTGTTTAATGCCTCATCATCTCCAATATGTAATTCAACACTTTACAGATTCAATAGCTAGGTTTCTTCAAGGAACTTAAAGCATATGTCTAGGACAAATACTAACTTGGGCTTTACTTAGTATGTTCAGAGTACTTTACATACGTATATTCTTGTCAGTGGTATTTAGGAGACGGCTGCAATGTAGGCAAGTTTTACTAGAGCCACATTCCAGATGGGGACCAAGGCCAAGAGTGGTTTGCTTAATGTCATCTACTGAGTTCATGGTAGAGACAAGATCTAAACCCCAGATGAGATGGTTCACATCTCAGTATCTTAGGCACAACAATGCTGCAGTCCTCATGAATTCAATGAAGAATGCTGACTGTCACTGCAGCATCTCCAGGCTGGCATAGCAGAGACATATATGACCCACTGCCAGCTGGGCCAATAGCTGGATCAGCTTAGGACTCAGCAGGTCCTTATCCAGCCCAGCTCCATTCCCTTCATGACTGAAATGCATTTCAGGAGTCTATGCTGCCTATCACTGGATTGGGGAGGGGGAATCTGTGCAGATGAATTCAGCTATATGTTCCTATTTTATCACAACATACATAAGTGTATTTTACCTCAGTGTATGAATTTCTAAACATACTTTCTTCTAAAATACACATTTCAAAACACTTTTGGTAAGTTTTGAGCCAAGAACACCACTACAAAATTCAAAGATGTGCACAACTTAAAATGATAGTTACGTTATTAATATTTTGATATTGAACAACTTATCACTCTTGGTACCCACTAAAGGACTAAAAGTGTCACATTACCAACCTCTAATTCACAGATAGTCTTAAATACAGATTCAAGGAGGATGAGCCAGTGTGTGTTAATTTTTCCGATTAATTATGGTGATTTGTAAATATTTCATGTTTACTTATATAGCTGAACTTGAATACCTCATTACATTAGTCCTTTTGTTGAAGATTTAAAAATCTTCAGATGAAGAGCTGTAAATAAGCCAACTCCTCAGCTTTCAATTTTGGAAAAAGCTGTGATGACTAGTAATACTATCTAGAATGAGAAAAAGGGATGCAGGTGATTGTATAACACACATACCTGAAAATGATCTGTGTCTTAGTTGACCACAATCTTAACATGCATCAACAGTGTGATGCAGCAGCAGAAAAAGTCAATGCTATTCTACGCTGCACCAACAGAAGTATGCTGTCCAGATCAATGGAAGTTATAGTACTGCTCTTATTTTGCCTTGTTCAGACCACATCTGGAGTACTGTGTCCAATTCTTGGTGCCACAATTTAAGAAGATATTGACTGTCAAGCTGAAACGTGTGCAGAGAAGGGGTGCTCAAGATGATCAAGGGTCCGAAACCAAGCCTTATGAGGAACCATCAAGGGAGCTGGGTATGTTTAGCTTGGAAAGGAAGAGACTGAGAGGAGATATGATAGCCATCTTCCAATAGTTAAAGGGCTGTCACATGGAGGATGGAGCAAGCTTGTTTTATCCTGTTCCACAGGGTAGGACCCAAACCAATGACTTCAAGTTACAAGAAAGTAGATTCCAACGAAACATCAGGAAGGACTTCCTAACAATAACAGCTGTTCCAACGGTGGAACGGACTCCCTCAGAAAGTGGAGGACTCGCCTTCCTTGGAAGTTTTTAAACAGAGGTTGGATGGCCATCTGTCACGGTTGCTTTAGTTGTGACTCTTGCACTGCTGGGGGTTGGACTAGATGACCCTCAGAGTCCCTTCCAACTCTATAATTCTAAGTTAAAAAAGATCGAATCAACTGAAACCTGCTGTCTTTAATGGAATTTTCACTGAGATATCATGCAGAAATGGTGGCGTACCATAACACTGAAGAAGGTGAATATAATTGTTTACAATCATATCTAGCACCTGAAAATGTTTAGAGCCAAACATTCAACAACTGCTTTGAAAGCAGCCAGGAGGAATTTAGGGACAAAGTGTGGATCTTCTAGGAGCAAATTATCTCAAACAGCTATTAAGCACCTCACCTGCAAATAAAAGATAATTTTAAAAAGCATGTATTAAACTAGCATTGAAAGTATAGTAGTCAGAGGTCTATAGGATTTCTGGCTTTTGCACAAACTAAGGTAGACATGAAGTGATGTATATACATGGATGAAACGCACCACTTTTCTGGTAAATCCACAAGCATCTGTTGCACCACCCTACAATTATCTTCAGGTGTATATCAGAGTCTGGAAGACTCTGTTAATGGCTGTGGCTGTGTAATGAGTGGAGCACTCAGCTGATTTGACTCTCCTTATAGAGTACTCTACAGGGGTTGGACTAGATGACCCCTGTGCTCCCTTTCCAACTCTACGATTCTACAAACAGTCCCTGAAAGGAGTGGTTCCAAGATGAGCCATCCCCACAGATTCGCATTTGCTTCAGCACCTGCTGCTCACCATCAAACTGGCTATTGGCCAATTCCGGCAAAGCACACCAGTTGTTTTTGAAGTCAGGGGCTTCCCTAAGACGGGATGGGGTGGGGGAGAGAGAGGGACCCGGAGGGGGTGCATTTAAAAGGGCGGCGGCCAGCTACATCATGGCATCGGCCTGTCCTGCCCACAAATCACGGCTGCCCCGTCATCAGCCGAGACAGAACGGAGACGAGCGAGAGCAGCTTCCAGCCAGCGCAGCTCCCAGAATGCCGGACGTAACGGTCTCGGCGGCGGCGGCGGCGGCGGCGGCTCCAAGTGACAAGTGGAATCCCAACAGCTCCAACTCCCAGCAACAGCGCCGACAACAAAACACAACAAGGCGGCAGGACACACACGCTCACACTCTCCGCCTGCGCGCCGACGCCGGGCAGAGGAGCGCTCCCGGAATAGCAGATGCGCGGGGTTGGCAACGCACAAATACACACAAACTATTAAAAAGAGCGGCGGACCTTCGAGGCTCCCGCCTGCCGGAGACAAGTCGGGGAAGCGGGGGGAACCTCCCGCCACTGTAACGGATGGCGATGTTGATCGTGCTAGCGCAGCCACGGGCTCGGAAAGCGCTGCCTCTGTGTATGTGTGTGCCTTTTAACGAGCGCACGAGAAAACGAATATTTCTCTCAGCAGAGGAACATGAGCTGCAGACAAGACACACCCTCGCACACATCGCTTGCTCTTCGACGCCCCACAACTCTTGCCCGGCTTCGCGGCCCCCCCCTTCACAAGAAGCCCCCCTCGAGCGCCACACCCAGAAGCAGCAACCGCCCCCCCACACACCGAATAAGCTCACCCTCCAGCCCCCCCTCGCGAAATATTGAAAAAGGGGTGGGGGGGAAGGACCCTCGAGGTGGGTTCCTCCATTTCCCCTCATGAAGAGAAAAGACGCGAGGCACTTCCCCTCCTCCCGCCGCCCCTGCGCCTCCGGCCGGGGTCTCTCGCCTCCGGCTTGGCCCACCTCGCCTCCACCGGACACGCAACTTCTCCCGACTAGCGGTTGAGGGAAAAGTTTCCCCTAAGTCCCGCCCGCCACTTCTCCCTCCCTCGCTCGCTCTTTCTCAACCTCCGTCCCTCCCACAGCGGCGGCCCCTTCGCGCCCCGCGCTCGGACGACGGAGGGGAGAGGGTGGAGGGGGAGAGGGAACTGGTTTGGTCCGGAGAGGAGCCGCCGCCCCCTTCGCGGAAAAAAGAGAGAAAAGTTTCTGCGGCGACTCACCGCAGCAGACGCGGGAGAGGAGCAAGCCCAGCGAGAGCAAGCCGGGCAGGGCGGGCGCAGCCGGGCGGCGGTGGCAACAGAGCCGAGATGGAGGGGAAGAGGACGAGCAGCGGCGGCGGCGGCGGCGGCCGGGAGGAGCCGGCGGAGCGTCCGCCGCCACAATGGACCCGGCCATGCTGGGGGCTCCGTTCTCAGCAGCAGCAGCAGCAGCAACCGCCGCCGCTACGGCTCGGCAGCGCAGCCTCCTCCTCCGCCTCCTTCCCTTCGCAGCGCCGGGTTCGTGTGTCGCTGCGCGGGGAGGCGTCGCGCCCGCTGCCCCTCCTCCTCCTCCTCCTCCCACCGAAGGAACGGGACGGACCATCCCGACCGCCAGGGGAGGGGAGTTGAGAGCGCGGGTCCCCCCCTCCTTTGTGCTTCTCTTTCCCTGAAGGCCTTTCTCTGACGGGACGTCCCTGGTCTCAACGACTCGACGCCTCCGACGAGGAAGCCGGGCACCCGGGAGCGGGAAGGTGGGAGCGGAGGGTATGTCACAATGGCTCCCTCCCCCTCCCTTTGAGAATTAGTGGTACATGCCGCTCCTCCCCCTCCCCTTCCCTACTTGCAAATTAGGAGGGGGGTTTTTAGAGGCGGGGGGCGGGGCAGAGAGAGATAATCAGTGTTTCTCACTCTGTTTTTTATACTTTCATTTCTATTTTTTTTCCCTACCCACCCCCCTTTCCCCTGTAGCATTTCTTTCTTTTTCTTTGCTTCTAACCACGATTGAGTTTCCTTTTGCTCTCCATGATTTCCCCTTCTCTACCTTCCTTTGACTCGTCTGCCAGTTTTACTCTGGGTGGTTATTAAGTCCTTCGTGCCTGGTGAAAAATACAGGCTTGCTGGTTTTCCGTCCGCAAACCGTTGCCAGCCCCGCTCTTTCTCCTTCCACGCTAGGACCCTCCGAGAATCCTCCTCCGACCAGCTGGAAGAAGCACCAGGAGCACAGCAAGAGACAGAAAGGCGACAGGGTTGTCTTGCAAACGACCGTCAGCGAGCAAGCAAATACCCGACACTCTTCTTCATCCTCATCATCATCTTCTTCCAGCCGTGGCATGGCTCCAAATAATCACCTGAGTTCAGGAGCGCTTAACGACGCAGCAGGAGACTGTTAACACCAGTAGGTTCACCTTCTGGTCCTCCCTCGTTCCCCGCCCCATTTGCCGCTTTAAAAAAAAATAAAAATCAGCAACCACGAAAGGAAAAAGTAGTTTGGAATTAGAGTTTTCGGACGTGAATGGAAAAGGACATGTGACCCGGAATGAAGGAGGAAAGGTTACAGGCTACCTGACAAAGTTAGATGTGGCAACCAGTTACTGGAAAATTAAATGCTTGTTTATCAGCAGATTTAATTGCTGGTGAAAGATACGGGCTTGACAATTGCAGCAGTTGCACCTTCTGCATCCGTTCAAAGCGTGCGGGGAGATGGGGGTTAATGAAGGTAGTGACAGTGCAAGCTTTCCTTTACTTCCCTGTCCATCTATTGCAGCCTTTTTCTGAAAGTGACAGAAGGTACGGAAGCTTTCTCCTTCTGTAACCTGCATCCCAACTACTACTGCCCGTTTCTGTGGTCATTTCTAGGATGTGGGCATTTGCCCTCTGCCAATAAGACTGCAACAAATCTCATTTTGCACAGTCCATTGAAGATGTGGGATGGGCGTAAGCTTCATTCCTTGCTGCACTGTGGAAACAGATTAGAACTGGCACCAGTGAAAAGCAGGGTATCATGTTCCCAATCCTCTTAGCCAATCAGATCTCTTTAGCAAATAATGGGTTTGGAGATGAAGGGAAGGCAGAAGGATGTTTATGAACAGATCTTGAGTGTGGGATGGAGATGCTTGCAGATATTAAGAACCTGATTTTGCAATACTCTCTTCATCCGGGGAGGTTCTTTTGGCTCCAATAAAATGGTTCAGCATCTCAGTCAGAGCATTTGAAGAAAACTGTCAGTGAAACACAGTTGTTGAGGGGATGTTACTTCAACAAGGATGAAGAGAAGTTTGAGAATAGTGTATATATGTATGTACTACACATGAAGAGAATCCGAATGGTACTTTGTAAAAGCATGGTTTGTAAATCATGTTAGAGTAAATAAGAATTACAGTAAGTTTCCAATTATGTGAACTTGATTAGCTTTATTATCCTGAAGAGCAAATTAACTGAGAGAGTTAACAAAATCAATTTTTGAATTGTGTAATTTTTCTGTTTTCATATACAATCTTTTAAACTGAACACAAACTACCTGTTGAGACTTCAATCCCAAAAAACATTGTAGCACATTTTGGAAACACCTGCCTGATAGACTTGCAGAGAGTGTAAGGATGCTAAATAAGTGTGTTTTCACAAATGTGATTCAATACTGGGATTTCTGCTTATTGGGTATCAGTGTCTACATAGTTTGATATTCTTAATATCAAGTCTCTGTGCAACTTGGCAAACTTTCTCATTTTTAAAGGAACAAACAGGTCACAAAGCATGTTTTCTCTGTCATTTACTGCCCAAATCCAAGCACCTTTACTTAGTAAGTCCCATTGATTCAATTATGACTATGCACACATTAACAGCTTAAAGGTAAAGGGACCCCTGACCATTAGGTCCAGTCATGGATGACTCTGGGGTTGCGGCGCTCATCTTGCTTTATTGGCCAAGGGAGCCGGCGTACAGCTTCCGGGTCATGTGGCCAGTATGACTAAGCTGCTTCTGGTGAACCAGAGCAGCACACAGAAACGCCGTTTACCTTCCCATCGGAGCGGTACCTATTTATCTACTTGCACAGCATGCTTTAAAACTGCTAGGTGGGCAGGAGCAGGGACTGAGCAATGGGAGCTCACCGTGTCACGGGGATTTGAACCCCCGACCTTCTGATCGGAAAGCCGAAGAGGCTCAGTGGTTTAGACCACAGCGCCACGCACTTCTGATCAACCGTCTGATCAGCAAGCCCTAGGCTCTGTGGTTTAACCCACAGCGCCACCTGCATCCCAGCTTACAATGCAGCAAAGTTGTTTCCCCCCTGTTGTGTTTCAAGTTCCATTTGCATGTTACTGTTCACACCAGATAGGAGGCAGGGATGCTTTCACCTGATATGCATTACCTGTTTGGTTTCACCACATCTGTAAGCCCCCAAATCCTATTCATGAAGCTTTCTTCTGCAAGGGCTGCCTCAGCTTCCCTATGAAGTGAATGTTGCCTAAATGGTTGGCACCACTTTGCGGTGGAATTTCATTCCCAGAGGGTGTTGCTTGGGGAATGCTTTTCTGCCCCATGGAACCTTCAATGTGGGGTTCTGCAAGGCTCAGTCCTATCCCCTACATTGTTTAATGTCTATATGAAACCATTGAGTGGGGTTATCTGGAGGTTTGGAGTACGTTGTCAGCAGTATGTTGATGACACTCAGCTCTCTTTCTCCTTTACATCTGCAGATGAGACAGTGGAAGTGCTGGACCAGTGTCTTACCTCGGTAATGGACTGGATGAGAGCCAGCAAACTGAAACTCAGTCCAGATTAGACCGAGGCGCTGTTAGTGGGTGGTTCCCTAGACCAGATGGGTGAGAGATCGCCTGCTCTTGATGGGGTTACACTTCCTCTGAAGGAGCAGAGTCGTAGCTTGGAGGTACTCCTGGATCCTTCGCTGTCGCTCGAGGCTCAGGTGGCCTCAGTGGCTCTGAGTGCCTTCCATCAGCTTCAGCTGGTGGCCCAGCTACGCCCCTATCTGGACAGGGATAGCCTAACTACTGTTGTCTATGCTCTGATAACCTCAAGGTTAGATTACTGTAATGTGTTATACATAGGGCTGCCTTTGAAGACAGTTTGGAAATATCAGCTAGTACAGAATTCAGTGGCCATGAGCATATTACACCAATCTTGGTCTGACTGCACTGGCTACCAATTAGTTTTCAGGCCCAATTCACAGTGCTGGTTTTGACCTTTAAAGCCTTAAATGGCTCAGGACCGCAATACCTCAAGGACCGCCTCTTTTCATATGAACCTACCTGGTCCCTGAGATCATTTTCTGAGGCCCTCCTTCGTGCGCCTCCTCGAGAGGTCTGGGGGGTGGCAACACTAGAATGGGCCTTCTCTGCAGTGGCTCCCTGTCTATGGAATACCCTTCTCAGGTAAGTTCACCTAGTGCCTTCATTATACACCTTTAAGTGCCAGGCAAAAACATTCCTTTTCAACCAGGCCTTTGGTTGATCTTATTAACATTCTATGCCCTTTAAAAATGTGGGGGGTTTTGACAGGGTTATTGGTTTGTTGTTTTTATTCTGATTATGAATTTTGTGGATTTGTATTGATTTTGTTCTGTGAACCGCCCTGATACATCTGGGTATAGGGCAGTATCTAAATTCAATAAAGAATAAGAATAAGAATTAATATGTTTTCAAATTGGATGGAAGCTGATGTGAGGGGAAACGCATCCAACAGCAGTATTCCTCAAGAAACTACAGGATAGATATGGATTGTGGCGAATATTGTGTGTCCACTGCTTCAAATACTAGAGGTAGCATAAATGGTAATGTGTGCACAGCCCTATATTTCCTAGTAAATGTACTTTGGATTGTATCCTTAATACCTGGTATTAAACAAATATGTGGATAATGGATTTATTGTGGCTATCAGCCATGGGTTTTAAATGAAGCTTGCAAGGCAAAAGTAGCAAATAGTCAATATCAGATGCTGAGGACAAGCAATGCCAGAGGAATGCTGGTTTCTTTCTTTGTTTTTAAAACCTGTTTTTGAGCTTCTCGGAAACATCTAGCTAGGAACAAGGTGCCTAGCACCTTGATGTGGCTGATGAAGGAGTGGTCTTTGTCTTAGCCAGATTCTGCTACTTCCGACAATTCTGTCAAAATCCTGACTTGAAATGGAGCAAAGAACATAAAGGAGCCGTAGGCAGGCAAAGAAAAAGCACCTCCTAACAGGAGCAGCTTTAGGCCAAACTGCATTATTCCTTCCTTCCTGTTTGGAACATGCTGTGCTTGAAGAGCAAAAGGTAGAGAGCTCGAAGAAGAGTCTGCAGTGTGAAGTGCTGGGGAGTTCTCAGTGATTTCAGGTTGTATAACATAAGTTACAGGCCATGGGGTAGCTGTAAATTGGAATACGCCGCAGCTATTAATTTGCCTTTTCTCCTACCCCGTAGCTCCTGGTAGAACTGAAAGTATACATCCCATAGACACACAGGTATGGATTTTGAATCCAGTTCAAATCTAAAAATGTTTCAGAACTATTTGTTGGCCGCCTCTCAAAGCTAAAAGCTCTTCCAAGGCAGCTTATAGAAAACACACACACACATTAAATTAAGGTTTTATGAATCAAGGTCTAGGGTTTTTCAGCTGCCAAAGTTAGTTTGTTCCTTTTCTCTTAAATAACCTATTATTGTAAGAGCCAGTCTACATATTCAGAACAATAAAATGATACAGGTGTGTTGAGACTATACCTGTTCCGACTGCAGGTGTGGATGCTATTTCTTTAGCATATGACTAACCTTTGAAAATTGCCAAGCTGTCTGTTTTTCTCCCTAGTGTACTAATTTCTATGAATGTGGCATAGGGAGGTGGTCTGTGGGTTTTTTGTTTTTTTTACATGGAAGAACTTTTAAGTATAATAATAATAATAATAATAATAATAATTTATTATTTATACCCCGCCCATCTGGCTGGGTTTCCCCGGCCGCTCTGGGTGGCTTCCAACAAAACACTAAAATACAATAACCTATTAAACATTAAAAGCTTCCTTAAACGGGGCTGCCTTCAGATGTCTTCTAAAGGTTTGGTAGTTATTTTTCTCTTTGACATCTGGTGGGAGGGCATTCCACAGGGCGGGTGCCACTACCGAGAAGGCCCTCTGCCTGGTTCCCTGTAACTTGGCTTCTCACAGCAAGGGAACCGCCAGAAGGCCCTCGGCGCTGGACCTCAGTGTCCGGGCAGAACAATGGAGGTGGAGACACTCCTTCAGGTATACTGGGCCGAGGCTGTTTAGGGCTATAAAGGTCAGCACCAACACTTTGAATTGTGCTCAGAAATGTACTGGGAGCCAGTGTAGGTCTTTCAAGACCGGTGTTATATGGTATTGGCGGCCGCTCCCAGCTGCCGCATTCTGGATTAGTTGTAGTTTCTGGGTCACCTTCAAAGGTAGCCCCACATAGAGCGCATTGCAGTAGTCCAAGCGGGAGATAACTAGAGCATGCACCACTCTGGTGAGACAGTCTGCGGGCAGACTCAGCCTGCGTACCAGATGGAGCTGATAAACAGCTGCTCTGGACACAGAATTGACCTGTGCCTCCATGGACAGCTGTGAGTCTAGAATGACTCCCAGGCTGCGCACCTGGTCCTTCAGGGGCACAGTTACCCCATTCAGGACCAGGGAGTCCTCCACACCCACCCGTCTCCTGTCCTCCAAAAACAGTACTTCTGTCTTGTCAGGATTCAACCTCAATCTGTTAGCTGCCATAATTCTGCACCTATGCTGGAAGCCATACAATCTGAATGGGGCCTCTGTGATGTGACTTAAAGAAGCCTTCAAATACATAATTAATTTTGTCACTAAATAATATTCTGTTAAGAATTGTGAGAAAAACACATATTTATAAGAGCACAGAGAATGTTTCTGGGACAGATCTAACTTTAGGATGGCAGTGAAATTAAATTGTGAGCAAAAGCTAGTCAAATTTTGTTATTTCTTCCCTATTCTTGTATGTTTGCAGTTTCCAAATCTGCAAAATATA